CCCTCTATGTGAACAAGGTGTCTTTAATGTTTGTTTTGCTCGGTTGTTCGAGCCAGCTATGGTTCTTAAGACATACTTCCTACTGAGGGTTAGGATTCTGTCCTTAATTGGCGTGATGTTGGTTAGTGCATAAATGTGGGCTGATGGATACAGCCAATCTTTTCTCATGCAGAAGCGTAGGATTCTACGCTCGGTGGCAGTAATGGCGTTGAGTTCGTGGTTCCTCAGGGAGAGGTAAACGCATGCCTTGTATTCGATTATCGGTCTGATGAAAGTCTTGTAGGTGTGCAACAATGTGTTAGAGGACGTTCCTCCTAGTTTACCGGCTAGCACTTTCAGGAGGTTGAGCCTTTTTCTCATCCTGTCAAGGGATTCTTGGACGTCAGCCTTCCAATTGAGAGTTCTCGTAAAACGAACTCCCAAGTAGAGAACTGAGTTCCTGAGAATAAGGTCCTCTCCCAAAAGTGTCACCCGGCCCTGGAGGCCGCGTCCGTAAGGAGGTCTGAATAAAATTGCTTGTGTTTTGGAGGGGTTTAAAGTGACCCTCCATTTGTTGCACCACCTCACGACTCTATCAAGGTAGTCTTGCGATTTCTCGAATACAGACCGTCGCTCTCCTTCCCTGTAGGAACCTGAGGTGAGAATGGCTGTATCATCAGCGAATAGGAGTAGAGACTCTGATCCTTGCTGTGGGCGGGGGATGTCGCTATTGTAGACTGTGTATAATATTGGAGCAAGTATTGAGCCTTGGGGTACTCCTGCTTGAGGAGTGAATGGAGTGGAGAGATGTTCTCCTATTTTGATCCTAACCGTCCGATGGGAGAGATAGGAATTTATTAGTTTAACGAAAGGTGTTGGCAGTCCAGCAAGGTGGAGTTTCTCGATCAAGCCTGCATGCCAGACCTGATCGAAAGCCTTCTGGACATCGAGGAATATGCCTACGACGTGCTTCCTTTCGTTAATGGATTGAGAAATGAAAGTTGTTGCTTCAACCAATGCATTTTGTGTGGAATGTCCAGCCCTGAATCCGAATTGGTAATTGGGAATAAGGAAGTGAGCGTCTAGGAATTCTACGAGTCTCTCCTTGAGGATCCTCTCGTAGACTTTACCTAGGGTGCTCAGTAGTGAAATTGGTCTATACGATTCAGGGTTGGTGAGGGTTTTCCCTTTTTTAGGGACCATGACAGTGCTGGCCACTTTCCAAGAGATAGGAAAGTAGCTCAGCGCAAGAGATGCATTGATTATATTGGTGAGCAACGGGATGATATTCTGTGGAAGATTTTTGAGGCATCTTCTGTGGATGCCATCTGGGCCAGGAGACGTGTTTTTTCCTATTTTACACATCTGACTGACGGTTTCCTCAGTCACTGGCGCCATCATCGGATGAGGATGTGGTCCGTCAAGTGGCTGAGGGTAGTAGAATATATCTTCCACTCTCCGTTCGGTGGCTCTTTTGGATCTTTCATTGAAATTGGGGTTATTGGGTGAAACGAGGGTGGCCTGAAGTGTATTTTTGAAAGCTTCGGCCTTATCTTGCGGATTGTTTAGTAAGACGTTGTTGACTTTGAGGTGAGATCGTGGCTGACTTTTTTGTCTTGTTAGGACTTTGAGTTTGTTCCAGAATGCAGAGCCATCCCGGTAGTCGAGGTCCGAAGTGACTCGCATCCACTGTCTTTGTTTCAGCTTGTTCACTTCGAGCCTTATGACCGCCGAGAGCCTATTGTATTCTGTTTTGATGAGGGGGTCTCTGAATCTTTTATACTCTCTGAGTAGTCTGCGTTTAGTTTTGATTTGCGCGATGATTTGCGGCGGGAGTGTTGGAGTATATGGATTGTACCTTGTTTTTGGAATAGCCAGGGCTGAGGCTTCTTGAAGAAGTTTCTCAACTTTGGAGATCCCTGTGTCAACTTGGTTATGTGTTGACATAATGCCTAACTCAGGAAGGTTTTGATTGACGTGTTCTTGGAAAAGATCCCAATTTGCTCTACGATAATTTATCCTATAGATGGCAGGTCTTGCTTGGGGTAAGGAGTTGAAGTCAGTGTTGACTAGAAGAGGAAGATGGTCAGAGGTTATGGAATCACCAATGGAGCATTCATCGTCGATCCTATCAAGCAGGTTAACCGTGCATAAGATATGATCAACAATGGACATCCCTTGATGATTGAAAAACGTGACCTCTCGATTGGTGATTCTGGAGATTGGCAGCTCTAGAAGAAGGTCTGAGAGCTGTCTGCCCGGAATATTTGAGGTTGTATCACCAAACTGAGTGTGCCTGCTATTTAGATCGCCCATTAATACCGCCTTGTCTAGCGTAGAAAAATACTCGACAAGGGGTAGGGAAAGGGGTGTGTTTTGATGTCTGTAGTAGGATATTATCGTAACCGTGTAGAAGGTATGGAGTGGTGTATTAAAAGACCATTACCATGACTGGCCTGGCTTTTGTTAAGGTGGTGTGTGGTGTAGCCTGTGAAGTTATGAGGAGTTTTAAGGCGGGTGTCGGTGAGAGAGAGGATTTGTATGTTGTGGAAGAAAAGTAAATGTTTTATTAGTGCTCTCTTTCGACCGACTCCCGCACAGTTGACCGTACCTATTACACAGTTGAATGTAGCGACTTACTGAAGGGGACGAAGGTCATTTCGACCTTATTATTTCTTGCAGTGGGCACGATAGAGTGCCCAAACATTTTGCCCAACAGGTCGGATGAGTACCTTGCAATGGTCTCTCTCCTATCTGGCAGGATGTTCATCAGCAGCGTGGTCGTGAATTGTATCCACAACCTAACGTCTGCTGTTAGTGACGCAGGAGGAATCCTTCTCTCAGTAGTTAGAGGTTTTGCCTCTTGGTGTGAGAAAGGTGTCTACTGCCTTTTGGGGCATCTAGGCGACCATGCTAGATGTGTACCCTTGCAATTGGGGCACCTAGGGTTTTTAATGCTAGGACAGTCGGCGCTTTTGTGCTCGCCACTACCGCAATTAGGGCAAGTCGTCAATTAGAATTTATAATTATTGTTATACTAACTGTTGCCACCTCGAATTGCATTAAGAATAATAATTTATCTATTTGCTAAACCTTGATGACAACAATGATGGCGAAACCGATTATTTTTGGCTACATATCTTATTTATTAGTAGCTATTACTCATTATTTATCATTTTAATAATGAATAAAAAAACTAAATTCATTAGTTTAATGGCAGTTCCAATTAAGTAAATTCATTTTCAATTTCACAGAATGTTTATCATTGGAGATAATTTACAATGGAATAAAATACTCAATGTTATCAGAGTTTATTATTATATTGTTGTTAGAAAATCCGTCGATCTAGAAAAGATCATTTTTACTTTGGTGCATTCTAAATTTCTTGTTACATAATATACAGGGCGGAACAGAATTTTGGTTATGAATTAAATGGTTGCGGGAAAAAACAGTTTCTTGTTCTTGTTATAGGTGCCGTGAATTTCTGCCAGATGAGATATTAAATAGACAGCATTAAAGCATTCTATTTTTAGCAGCATTACGAAGCATTTCATAACTGTGGAGTTCTATCTATAGGCGAATATTACGCATTACGCATTACGAATTCATTTTTTATTTGGCGTACGGGTATTAAGAACATAATTAAAGCAATATTTTTATAAAAAAACATTATGGAGTATTACAAACGAACATCTAATATATCCATATATTCTTAAACATTTTCGGTCTCATTCAGGAATTCCATCTTCTTAGTTTTTCTTGCTGTTCTGTCAATATATTACCTTCCTTTATCTCTTTACTTCTTTTGTTTGAATTTCTTTTTGCTTTTGCTCAGTATCTGGTAAATTTTTTTCGTCTCTATTGGTTTACTTAGATCTTGTAGTTTCTGAAGTTCTTTGTTCATAGTTTTCTCTCTTCTTTCTCTGGAGGATTTTATTTTCTTCCTTGCGTAGTTATATTCGTCATCTGCTTGTCGGGTTCTGTAGCTCGGGTTCTGTAGGACGGCTTGTTGGGTTATGTAGTTGCATCATTAAATATGCTCGGTTTTTTTTCTCTATTATCATCTGATATTCTTTGTCAAAACACTCATTCCTTCTTGTTTTTCTTTGTTAACCTTTCATGCCTAGTAATTACTCAGCTGCTCCTTTCATGATTTTTCTGCACCCTTTCCACTCTTCATTTATGTTTTCATGTTTAAGCCAGTTTGTTAGTTTGATATTTATATTTTGTTTATATTCTCTATTTTTGTTTGTATTTTTAAGTCCTTCTACATTGTATCAATTATGTTTAGGACCTATTTCCTTTTATTTAACTTTACCCTACTTTCGATCCAGTAGTGTTCAGAACCCTCATTTGCTCCTCTTCTGGTGCGAACATTTATTATATTGGATCGGTGTCTTGAGTCTATTATAGAATGATCTATCATATTTACTGTAAGTTCGTCTGGTGATTTCCAGGTACCTTTGTGTATATCTTTTCGAGCGAAGTTAAAATTATACTATCGATTAAAAAAAACTTTTATGAAAAAGAAGTCACTTTTGAAATAAGAACATAAAAATATTTAAAATTCGTTTTTTCTCAAGCTCCAAATTTTTTTATTCTGATGGGCTGTGTTATCATTTCTGTTCCATGCCATGCAAGTTAAACTAATTACTATTTAAATGGAAATAAGTCACAATTAAAGGTTAAAGTACGTTTATTGACGTTTCAATTTCCACTTCGGAAATCGTTCTCAAAATACAAACATTAGTAAATTGTTTTCCTATTGGGTAATAATTGGGAAGGACTTGCCACTAAGACTGAAGATCTACGAAAAATCCTTCTAGAATTTAACGATGCCTATGAAATTGGTGTAACTGAGGTGAAAGCTGATTTTGCTGATTTTATTTAGGTCACGTGATCATTAAACCCTGATCCATTAGAAAGAGATGATGGGACCGTATTGCTTCAGTTTTCTCTAAAAATTATGTACTTATTTCTATAGAACAGTAGGTTATATATTATTATTTTTACTATTCTAGTGATGAAGAGCTCATACGCAATGCCATTAAGAGTAACGATTTCCTCCATAAAATAATATCAGGAGAGCAGCTAAACGACGTAATAGCAGCGATGTACAACAAAGAAATTTCAGCAAAAGAAGTGATCATCAAACAAGGAGATAAAGGACAGCATATGTACGTTTCTGCCAAAGGAAATTACAAAGTAGTTGTAAATGGAAAGACGGTCAGCCAATTTAGTGATGTCAGAGTGTTTGGAGAACTAGCTATTTTGTACAATGCCAAGAGACTTGCGACGATTAAAGCTCTCTCTTCTGGAAGGGTGTGGGTTTTAGATAGTACCGTGTATCAACAAATTATGCTTAGGAGTAACCTGAAAAAGGAAGAAGAAATCAATGAATTTTTGTCAAATAACGAGATTTTGAACGTTGTTGGAAGCGATGCGTTACACATTGTTTCGACGTTATTGAAGACTGAATTCTTTCCTACTGGCAAAGCTATTGTTAAACAGGGTGATAGAGGTAAGTACTCAGATTCAGTTATACATTTATTTTAAAGAACTTGTTTATCGAATCCAACTTCTCTTTGTTCTACTAATTGTTTAAAATGTGTCTGAAAATATCGTATTAAGAATAATTTAACAACAATTTTTAATGCTGTTACATTTTTAGTTAACAATAATATCCTCTTGCGTTCAGCTTCTACTTTATTGTGTCATTAGTAATAACTAGACTTGCAAATATGCAAAAAATGAAAAGTATGCTCTTTTTATATCTTTTTTTCAATAGACAGAGGTTAAGGATGCATGACGCGTAGGGTAGTTGGGGGCAAAAACACGCAGTTTCGTTATCTCCTGTCGTCTTCAGCAATTATAACAGTTTAGAACTTTTCCAATATTATTACAGGAGAGCTTACATATTGTTTTTCCATTTTAAGTATCGACAGTAGTTCTATAAGTTCACTAACAAATTAAAAAAAAAGTATTGAAAAATCTGCATTTGCGTACTCTTGCCCCTACAAATGGGGCAGTAGTACGCAAGTGCGTATTTTTGCCCCAAAGCTTAAATGTATAAAACCCCAAATAAAAGAGATGGTAGGCGTTTAAAAGAAACCAATTTTATTGAAAAAAACCAAACGTAAAATAAAATACAAGACGTTAATCTAAAAGAGAAGAGTATTTGACGAGGTCATCAGAGAATCCCACTGAATTTGAAAATCTGAAAGAGCTGGTTTTTATTGGCTTTGAAAGCTTTAAAACAATATCGTCCTTTCGAAAAAAGGCATCTTCCGTTGTTTCACGAAAACGGAATGTTGTAAGCAGTCGCTTAAAAAATACCCCTTCATAACCATCATCATTTACTTGGCAGACTTTGGCGACAAATAATCTGTATGATTTTTTTCCAAAAACCTTCACTACAACAAAGTCATCAGGTAAAATATCTGGTACAACATCAATGTCTTGCTCTTCATCGTTATCGGAAAAATGAATGTCACAAGAATCAATACTTTCTTGATAGGAGAGTGCTACTGATTCATCAGATGATGATTCGTCGAAAACTTTCCTTTTGGCAGCACGAACTTTAGCACTTTGAGATTTGATCTTTTGATTCTTCAGTAATGCTTTCCTCTCCTTCTCTTTTTCAGCTTCCTTCTTTTCTTCTTGTTCTTCTAAAAGTCGCTCCTTATTAGGCGTCGATGTTAATAGGGTTGACTTCAAACTTTTCCTAGTTCGTTTCCTTTTTATCTTAATTTTTGGGAAGGGAATAATATCTGAAGCTAAAATTGATTTTGATGACGGCTGGGGCTCTTTCGTGTCAGTAACAGTTTCTTTTTCAATATTTGAAGGGCCAGGTACAGAAATTCTGACTTCCGATTTTGATGACGGCTGGGGCTCTTTCGTGTCAGTAACAGTTTCTTTTTCAATATTTGAAGGACCAGGTACAGAAATTCTGACTTCCAATTTTGATGACGGCTGGGGCTCTATCGCATCAGTAACAAGTTCTTCTTCTTGCTGAAACTGAATAAAAACATGACCTTCATCGTCTGAATCTTCACCTAAATCTTGCTCTGTTACTTCCGCTGGCATAAAATCTACGTCCGAAAAAATATTTTTATCTAGTGGGTAGATTCCAGTAGACCGAAAGCCCTCTCTTGCTATATCTACAGTAGCAGTTTTTGCAAATGCTGTGGAAAAGAGACCAGCTACATGGTAAATGGAGAGAACCTGTCCTGGATGGGAACTGGTCCAGCTGTCAGCGACGCTCTCATAATAAGCTTTTAATGGTTTGAAAAATGCCCGATCGAGTGGCTGGGTCTTATGGCTGCTATGTGGTGGCAGACTTAATAAATGGATGAAATTGTCTTTTGCAAATGTTACTGCTTGAAGACTTGTGTGCGATACATGATTATCTAGAATCAGGAGAACGGGGTTCTCCTCTGTTGGACTTGTATGTTTTTTAAAATGCTCCAGGTACTTGATAAACGTGGGAGTGTTCATGTAACCACTATCAGTAACAGCCATGTCGCAGGCAGTGGGCCCGTCTTTGATTAGAAGAAAATTCATCCGTTTTCGAGCAAATAAGAAAAATGAAGGGACATGGTGACCAGTTGCACTCATACAACAAACAGCCGTAATAGTTTGTCCTTGCTCGGCAGCTACAGCTTTTGCTACATCTCTCTTTCCAATTGGGGCAACATGTTTGGGCAGATGGTTTGGGACTGTCTGAATGCCCGTTTCATCGACGTTATATATACGGTTGGGAGGTAACTTATATTTTTTTATGGTGTTCTCCAAAATATTAAAATACAGAGCTAGTTGCACTCTATTGAAGCCCATAGTTCTAGCAATACTGGTTTTTCGTGGAACACGTAAAGATAGTCGGTTCCTTTTCATGAACGATCTAGTGAAGTCCCGACCAGCCAACTGATTTACAGGTGAAAATGGATGCTCAATACGGTTTCTTACACAATAAGAGTAAATTAAAAAACGCAATGACTTCAGCGTCATTCCATAAAATCGTTTGTCGAGTTCTTTGCAATGCTGAACTATTTCGTTTTCTTGGATCTTGGTTAGAACTGCTTTAAATCTGCCTAAAGACTGGACTTTTTTCAACCTTTGCCGTAGTGTCGCTTCATGAAATCCCACAGCTTTTGCTGCCTGACGTATAGAAACGCCATTATTAATAAGTTCACGAGCTTCACACAAAATAACTTCTGTCAAAGGCTTGCGCTCTGATTTTCTTTTGTAGTTTCTGAAAAAAAAGAAACCAAGATTTAGATGAATTGAATATTTAATTCCAAAATTAGTAGAAACAAAATTAATTTACGATAATGGGGCAAAAATACGCATTCGAAGTTTTGCCCCATAACTCTCGCGTATTTTTGCCCCATTCTGCAACACTGTCAAAACCACCTGTTGAGATATAAAAGACCTAACCTCAATCGAAAACTCTTAACATAATAACCTACAATCAAGCCAAGAAAACACCCGAATAAACTAATTCAATGAAAAATGCCAATTTGATTTTATCACAAATTAATTTTGTTATGCCAATATTACAGTGTAATAGTAAAAAATAATATTTACCTCATAATTTGTAAACAACGTCTTGAATCAGCTTTCAACTTGGAACACACATATGGCACAATGTTGCCAAACGTTTGTAACTAAAATCGTTAGAAACTGGACATTAGCGGCAAATTTAAATGAGGTGCGTTCTTTTGCCCCGTGCGTGTTTTTACCCCCAAGTACCCTATAGTTTTTTTTTCTCTTTTCCAGGTGACAAATTTTATATTATTAGAGCTGGAACTGTCACAATAAGCAAAGAAGGAGAAGGAACCGTTGGAGTATACAAAAAAGGAGACTGTTTTGGCGAATTGGCTCTATTAGAAGAAGATTGTAGACAAGCAACTGTAACTGCCAATAGTCCTGGTGTCGAATGTTTAACGTTGACTAGAAAAGAATTCGTAGATCACTTAGGAGACATCAAAAACTTCAAGTATATCAAAGTAAAAGACAAACCCAAGGATTCCATACGGTCTGTGCACGGCGAGTATGACGATATTAACTTGTTTGATTTAAAAATTATCAAAACTCTTGGAGTTGGTGGGTTCGGACGAGTGGAGTTGGTACAACACACTAAAAACGAAAAGATAGTGTTTGCACTTAAGTACCTTAAAAAAATTGAGATTGTTGAGCAAAATCAACAAGAACATGTTTTTAACGAAAAAAGGATTCAGATGAGTTCAAAGTCGCCGTTTATTGTGAGATTGTACAGGACTTACAGAGATAGCAAGTATATTTATTTCTTGATGGAATCTTGTTTGGGTAAGTATAAAATATTTTAATTATAACTTTGAGAACTGATTATTTTATTTAATAACTTACAACGTAGTGCCCAAACATAGGCGTTGATAGTCTCCATGAAAATTTGTCGATACTTTTCTCAATCTTGTGTGGGACGTAGCAACTCATCTGCTGATAAGCCAGTCTCTATTGACAAAAGTTTCGGAGCCACGAATATTTATTTTTACCATCCTTTCTTTACCTTTATCCTTTCTTTACTTGTATCTGAATTTATATATAGTACAGGTTGTTTACAACTGTCGTTGTTTTCCTGTCCCTAGTTTCCATCATCATTGTTTCGTCAAAGACATCAATGTCTTTTTCTTGCTCCATTCTACGTTTTATTTCTTCATTGCGGATTCTGTCCATCCTTCTGTCAATCTACAGCTTCTTCTCATAAAATCCATCTCGGTAGCTTGTAATTTTTTCCTGTTTCTTTTAGTAGTGTCCCATATCTCTACTCCATATGTTACCACCGGCTCAACCATCGTCTTATATATTCGTTTTTTCGTCGTTCTTGTGATTTTTTTATCCCAGAGAATGGAGTTTAGGCATTTGGTAATGTTTCTGCCTTTGTTTATTCTTGTATTTATTTCCTCATGGCTATTTCTGTCTTTTGTAAACACTACTCCTAGGTATTTGACTCTATTTGTTCCTTTGATTTTGTCACTCTCCAATGTCAGGTCTTCTACTGTATTTTTCCCCACTGAGAGATATTCGCATTTTTGTAAGTTCATTGTCAGTCCACATTCTTCGTACGCTGTTTGTAGTTTCCTAACCATATAGCTGAGGTAGTCTATATCTTCTGCTACCACCAGTTGGTCATCAGCGAAGAATAGTGTATAGAGAATATCCTCATCTATTTCTATTCCCATATTTCTGCATTGTCCTTTTGCCACCTATTTTAATTGATGCGGTGTTGTTTACATACCACTTTTGAGTTGCTATTATTAACGAAGGTTTTATTTCCATGTTCTGCATTTCACTCCATAAATTATTTATCGGCACGTTATCATATGCCTTTTCAAGATCTATCAGGGCTATATGTGTTTCTTTGTTTCTTTGTTGTCGCTTTTCGATTAATATTTTAAGTGTAAATAGATTATCTATAAGAAATTTATTTTTTGATGAGAGAGAGAGAGAACCAGCCCCCAATACCTACGGAAACAGGACCACCTATACTAGTGGCAGAAATAAGAGCAGCCATAATATCACTAAAAGAAGGTAGAGCTCTAGGACCAGACGGAGTACAATCTGAATTTCTTAAACTTCTTGATGATGAATCTTTAAGAGTACTATGTAAAATCTTGAATAATATCTATGACACAGGCAATATCCCAAAAGATTGGCTACTTTCAGAATTTATTACCTTACCAAAGAAACAGGGAGCAAAAAAGTGCGGAGAATATAGACTAATAAGTCTAATGAGCCATACATTAAAACTTTTTCTTAAAATTATACATCGTAGAATATACAAGCTATGCGAAGAGAGAATACAAGACACACAGTTTGGATTTATGAAAGGCGTAGGTACAAGAGATGCACTGTTTAGTCTACAAGTATTATTTCAAAGATGCAGAGATATGACTTGCGATATTTACACCTGCTTTGTGGACTACCAAAAAGCATTTGATACAGTTCAACACCAAAAAATGATGGATATTCTAACAAAAGCCCAAATGGATGATAAAGATCGGCGTATAATACAAAATTTATACTGGAACCAATCAGCCACAATAAGAACGAATTTTGGAGGTGAACCAACGGAAATGATCCAGATTCTACGAGGCGTTAGAGAAGGTTGTATACTTTCACCTATATTATTTAATCTATATTCAGAGGAAATATTTAGTGAAGCCTTGGAAAAATGCGAACATGGAATACTTCTAAATGGAGAACGCTTAAACAACATCCGTTATGCAGACGACACCGTTTTTTTTTGCAGACAGTTTGAACAGTTTACAGCAACTAATAAACAAAGTAAATGAAGTAAGTGAAAGATTTGGACTTCAAGTAAATATAACAAAAACTAAATTTATGATCATCAGCAAAAATAAAGTTAGAGACGCTCAACTACTTATCAATAATACACCAGTGGACCGAGTAAAACAGTATAACTATCTTGGAACAACAGTAAATGAACAATGGGATCACTCACAGGAAATAAAATGTAGAATAGAGAAGGCTAGGAGTGCATTCAATAACATGGCCAAACTCTTTAAAAGCCACAATCTTAATCTGGAGATAAAAGTAAGGCTCCTACGATGTTATATCTTCTCAATATTGTATTACGGAGTTGAATCCTGGACACTAACTGAAGCAATGGAGAAAAAACTTGAAGCCTTCGAAATGTGGCTATACAGGCGAATTCTAAGGATATCATGGACAGACAAGATAACCAACGAGACCGTATTACGAAGAGTGGGCAAAGAAAGAGAGGTGATGTATACCATTAAAAGGAGAAAGTTAAAATATCTCGGACATATAATGAGAAACAGCACTAAATACAGATTACTGAAGGTAATCCTACAGGGTAAAGTATTGGGAAAGCTAGGAATTGGGAGAAGGAGAATATCATGGTTGAAGAACCTGAGGAAATGGTTCTCCACAACAACAACGAATCTATTTAAAGCATCAGTCAATAAAATAATTATAGCCAGAATGATTGCCAATATTCGGAACGAATAGGCACTGAAAGAAGAAGAAGATTATCTATAGTCGATCTTCTAGCTCTGAATTCGCATTGTTCTTCTGGTTGTTTTATACGAATGTCTTCTTCTATGAGGTTTCTAAGTATTCGGGAGTACAGTCGTCCTATAGTGGGGATGACAGCAATTCCTCTATAGTTTCTGACATTGTTTCGTGCTCCTATTTTGTATATTGGGGTTATATAGGCCTCACGCCATTCTAACGGGGTCTCTTCTCCATTCAGGCATCGTTGGAACAGATCTTTGAGCATTTTCCACAGTTTAGCTGAGCCGTATTTAATAAATTCTGGTGAGATGTTTCCTGGGCCTGGCGCTTTTTTAAGTTTAAAAGATCTTATCGCTTCTACGATATTTGTCATGTTCAATTCAATGAATTCTGATCGTATGTCTCTGTTTGCATTTTCGTATTGACAATTTTGTCGTCCTTCTTGTAGTAACTGTTTAAAGTAGTCTACCCAGTCTTTTTCTGTTATGTTACTTAAATCTAATTTATTGTTGGTTGACGTTTTCATAGATTTTAGCGTTCTCCAGGCTTCTGAACTATACGATCCTCTTTCGAGGATCCGCTTTCGTATCTTAATTTGTTGAGATCTATTACAGCAGTATCGAGTGTCTATTACCTCTCATTACATTTCATACCTTATCGCCTAAACTGTTTACAGCTGAACTAGAATATGCTTGTAAAAAACTTAACTGGGAAGAGAAAGGCCTGAACATTGACGGTAGAAGATTAACAAATTTTAAATTCGCAGACGACATAGTTTTGTTCTCGGACAACCTCAAGGAGATATGTACAATGCTACATGAACTTCAGTTAGTGTGTGCCAGTGTGGGTCTTAAAATAAACATCTCCAAAACAAAATTTATGACAAACCTAGTACCTAGCGGAAATATCAATATTGAGAGACAACGAAGTAGAGCTGGTGGAAAAATACATATATCTTGGACACGAAATAGTGATCACAAGAGACAACCAAACATGTCAACTACGAAGAAGAATATACCTAGCATGGGCAGCCTATGGAAAACTCAAAGACATATTTAAAAGCGATATACCAATTTCTTTAAAACATAAAATATTTGCTGAAATTTGACATTGACAGCTACAAGTTCTAAGACGCTGCAAATAGCTCAGAGAAAAATGGAAAGATCAATGCTGAACTATATAAGAAAATATATTCCGATCAGGAAATATGGCGCTGGGATGGCATGAACCAAACGTTGGTGGTAGAGACCAAAGCAAAAAACTAAGCATCAGCATGAAAAGGAAAGAAATGAAGACGAACAATGGGACGAAAAGGATTACAAACTATGAAAACGAAACAAAACAAGACAGTAATACAAAGGTAAAGCCGAAGAAAGACAAGATACATTTAGCTACATGGAATGTCAGAGGAACCTTTTATGAAGGTGCGCTAAAAGAACTAATGAATGAGGCAAGGAAGTATAAAATAGATTTAATGGCTCTTCAAGAGACAAAACAATTAGGATCGAAAATAACTGATATAGAAGATATGGTGCTCTTCAAAAGTGGAGGTAAAGATAGAATGCTTGGAACTATTTTTTTAGTAGCTGAATGTATCAAGGACAAAGTGATAGCTTTTAATCCTCTCTCTGATAGGATGTGTTCAATTCGAATTAAAAGTAAGAAAAGGAATTGGAGTATAATCAATATTCATGCACCGTCAGAAGACAAGGACGACGAAATAAAAGATCTTTACTATGAGCAGCTAAATGATGAATACGAGCGCCTACCTAAACGTGATGTAAAAATAATAATGGGTGATTGTAATGCTAAAGTGGGAAAAGAACCTCTGTACACTGCAGTAACTGGTAACTATATGGAAGTAACAAACGATAATGGTCAAAGACTTATTGGATTTGCCATGGAGAAAAACATGGTGGTGAGAAGCACACAACTAAAACGAAAAGAGATATACAAAGGTACGTGGTTCTCCCCAGATGGAAGGACGGTGAATCAAATAGATCATGTTATGATTGAAAGTAAATATATGAATATAATTCAGAAGGTAAGAAGTATAAGAGGAGCTGAAATCGACTCGGACCATTACCTCATTAAAGTCACATGTGGGAGGAGGCTGGAAGAAAAAGAGAAATCGAACAATAAAACAAAGAGAAAGTACAATATTGAAAAACTTAAGGAAGTAGAAATAAAAAATAAATATGAAGAAGAAATAAATAAAATTCTACATCAATGTGACCAAAATTTACAGACAGATCAAGCCTGGGAACAAATTAAATCTGCTGTAGGAGAAGCTAGCGAGAAAATAGTTAAGTGCGACTCCAAGAGAAGTACAAACAAAGATTGGTTTGACGAAGAGTGTCAGGCGATAGCAAAGGAAAAGAAAAAGATCAGACAACAAATATTAACAGATAATAGAGAGTGTAAAAAACAAGAATATAGAATAATTCGAGGAAGATTGAAAGCTCTGTGTAGAAGGAAAAAGAGATACCACAATGAGTTGAAATTAAAAGAGATAGAAGAGAAGTTTAAAAACAAAGAGGTGAGGTCGTTCTATCAAGAAGTTAAAAAGATGGGAAAAGGTTACCAAAGCCACTGTAGTTATATGAAAGGTAAAGACCGAAATTTAATTAGCGATCCGGCAGAAATAATGACGGAATGGAAAAAACATTTTGAAGAATTATTAAATGGTGAGGTGGACCACGAAGCAGTAGACAACTGGACGGTTGGAGAAGATGCGATAGTTGAAAGGCAGCCTACAGAGGAGGAGGTGGTGACAGCAATACATGAAATGAAAAATAACAGAAGTCCTGGTAAAAATGACATATGCATAGAAATGATCAAGTTTGGTGGAGAACAACTACAAAGAAAAATATATCAGCTACTAGTGCAAGTATGGGAAAAGGAAATAATGCCATCGGAGTGGTATGAAGCCCGCATATGCCCTCTGCATAAAAAAGGAGACAAACTAAAGTGTGACAACTATAGAGGTATTGCCTTACTAGACACAGTATACAAAATCTTGGCAAGAATATTGAGAAATAAACTAAATTGCTACACGGAAAGAATCCTACATGAGTATCAGGCCGGCTTTAGAAAGGACAAATCTACTGTAGACCAAATCTTCTCATTAAAGGAGATACAAACGACTTGTTATGAAGGTAAAGTTCCCCTGCATGTTTTGTTTGTGGATTTTAGACAAGCATAATGATAGAGTCGATAGAGTCAAAAAGTCGAGGAAGACCCCCTACACGTTGGACTGACGATCTCAAGAACATGTCAAGAAATTGGATGAAAAGTGCTCAAGACAGAGCATAATGGACACAAATGAATGAGGCCTATGTCCAGCAGTGGACGCAAAGGCTGGATGATGATGATGATGATAACATGTTTCAAATATTTACGTTTTCTTTTTTGTATAATTTTCGTCTTGATCTATTCTATTATTATGGTTTAAGTTGAAACAGAATAGAACTATTGTGAACACATACATGTATGGCACGGATTTTTTTGCGTGCATGACAAATTTGACTATCTGCCTACAAAAAACCCAATAATGTGTTATTTGAACCTATAAATTTCTAATATTTATTTTTTGTAGTACAGTATAAAAATGTTGTAGTATAAAACTAAAACGGTATAACTAAAATAAAAAAAATTGATCTGGTCCGATCTCTGATCCATAAGCAGAATGATCGGCTATTTTTAAAACGGAGTACTTCGTCTTCATAAGCGTCCACCTTCTATGACCATCTATACGTTAGATTTTGCTGAAGCTTGTGGTGGACCACTCTTGTACTCAATTTGGTACAATTTAAAATTATATTTATATTTTAGGTGGTGATTTATGGAGTTTGCTTCAAAGACAGAAAAATAAAAGATTTGAAGAAAAGGAAGCACGATTTATATGTTCATGTGTGCTATTGGCATTCGAATATCTTCATTCTAGAGGAATCATTTATCGTGATCTTAAGCCAGAAAACTTACTGTTAGCTGTGAATGGCTACATCAAATTAACCGACTTTGGATTTGCCAAGAAAGTACCAGATCGAGGAAAAACTTACACATTTGCAGGTACATTTTTGTCTGTACATATTTATTGTAAAATTAAAATCGTTAGTTTAGAATCAGAATCTATTTATAGGACAAAATACAATACTAAAGTTAAATGAAATATTAATAATTCATAGGTACTAACTAAATAACACATTTTTCGAGTATTTTACCTTAACATAATGAAACTACTTAATCACCTAGGTAGATCTCGGCCATCCTAGTAAGCTGCTTTAGACTGCAGTGAAATATATCGCAGTAAGCACTTAAGTAATTATAATAGTTGCACATGAGAAATAGAGGAGAATTTAACATAAGATTAGTTCTAGCTTGTGTATTTCTGAACGTAATAGAATTTCTCACTGGATAAGATGGAACGTTAAATTTTATTTGTTGAAGAATATCAGGGTAGTCAATGAGATTATGTAGTAGCTTGTACAGGAGTATTAGGGAGGCATTAATTCGTCTAGATTCTAATGATACTACGTCCAAACCGCTACACAACTCGCTATTGCTGATGCCCCTCCTGGGATATATGCCGTTAATTTTGAAAGACAAAAATTTTAAAAATTTTCGCTGTACGTGCTCTATAATTTGGATGTGTACATCATAAAAAGGTGACCAAATGACAGAAGCATATTCCAGTTTACAGCGTACAAAAGTGTAATAAAGTAATTTAATTGCCTTAGTATTAGTGAGATTTCGACTATTTCTAATTATGAATCCATAAGATTTAAGTGCTTCTTTAACCTTTAAATTAACATGCTCAACAAAGGTGAGTTTATAATCAAATGTAACTCCAAGGTCTTTAATTTTATTCAATCGTTCAAGTTCATTGCCATCGATAATATAAGGATGGTATATATTAGACTGTTTCCTAGAATAACTAACTACTTTGCACTTATTGGCATTAAGATTCAAATGATTTGCATTACACCATTCATGTACACGATTCAGTTCACTCTGCAGAAAATGACAATCATTAAGGTCGCTTATCAATGAATATATCTTTAAATCATCGGCATAACATAAAGATGGTGCAGAAATTGATTCACACAGATCGTTAATAAATAACAGAAACAATAATGGACCTAGATTAGAACCTTGTGGAACCCCTGAAGAAGCTAGGTACTTTTCCGATTTGTAACCATTATAAGCAACAAACTGCGTTCTATTTGACAAGTAAGACCTTATAAAAGTCACGGCATCCTCAGGAAGACCAAAGAGACACAATTTAGAAAGTAATACGCCGTGGTGAATTCTGTCGAATGCCTTCGTAAAGTCAGTATATATGACGTCAACTTGACTTCTATTATCTAGGGCTGCTGAGATATATTGTGTGACCATTAATAAGTTTGTCACAGTGGACCGATTGGAGACAAAACCATGTTGATATTGAGACAGCTGATTACGAGTGCGTGAATAAATACGATTATACAAAACTATTTCAAAGACTTTCGATAGATTGTAAATAATGGAAATTGGTCTGTAGTTTTCTACCTGACCCTTTTCACCAGTTTTGAATATTGGACACACTTTTGACTCCTTCCAGAGACTCGGATATTCCTTGTTAAGAAGACATAAATTAAAAATTTTTAATAGTGGCACAGTTAAGGCACCTATACAATCCTTAACCAAGAAGGATGGAATATTATCAGGTCCACACGTCATTTTGTCTTTCAATTTATTACTAGCAAAAATTATCTCAGACTCTAAAATAGGATAAAAATTTAAGTAATCTGCGTTAACTGAGAAAGAGTTAGCCTTGAAATTAATATCTGATGACAGAAAAACACTCTTGAAAAATTCTGCAAACACATTCACAATATTTTGTGGGTCGGAGGTAGCAATGTCATTATATTTCATCACACCAGGAATTCTTGAACTATTATTTTTTGAATTTACATAAGACCAAAACTTCTTGGGGTTGTTGGATAAAGCAATTTGGATATTCTCGACATATAGATTGTATGCCAAACTGATTTTTGATTTGACAAGGTGTCTTAACCGTTGAAACTCAAGCAAATCACAATAATTTTTGAATCGTTTAAATTTTTTTCTAAACTTTGCTTTTAATTTAATGTTGTGAATGATATCAGCATCGAACCAGGGGGGGTATTTATGGCTAAAGTTTTTATAAACTGGAATATACTTATTAAACACAGAAAAAATCTTATCATAAAAGTTATTTAAAGTTTCATTAACGTCATTAGAAGTATCCAGAGAATTCCAATCCGTTTCATACAGTTCTCGATATAAAGCAGGACAATTTGCTTTTTTAAAGTTGTAAGTTAATTGCTTTAAACCACACTTAAATTTAGGCTCTTTTACAAATATATCCGTAAATGTTATTAGAAGAGCCGTAAATCATGTTAAAGATCAAAATTTATTCAACGATTCCAGTCATTACCAGATCTACTGTAATGTTTGGAGCATTAGCTGACTAAACATCAGAAAGAACTTATTCTTGCCCACTACTAAATTGATACTACTACAAAACAAATAACATAAATAACAAATCATTATTTTTCTAGGTACTCCTGAATACGTAGCTCCTGAAATAGTGTTAAACAGGGGCCATGACAGAGCAGTGGATTATTGGGCTTTCGGAGCTTTTGTGTTTGAAATGCTGTCAGGCAAAACCCCTTTTAGAACAGACGATGTTAGCCATATGAAAACGTACAACAAAATTCTAGGCGGAATAGACAATATTCCATTTCCGACTTATATAAATTTGAAGGCTAGACATCTTGTTGAGAAGTTGTGTAGACCAGTAAGTAGATATATATTTTTATCAAGGCTAAAGAAATAAATATTAGACAATCAGTCTATTGTACTTCGCACGACCGGTTTCGAACACTACACTTTGCTGTTCATCATCAGGTCCCCGCGCAGATTACTTAAATGCTAAAATTACTAATTGCAACCGTTATGATTCTTCTTCTTCTTTCTGGTAGCACTACAACCCGGGGTGGGTCTTGGCTGACTGCACAACCTGCTTCCATCTCGAACGGTCGTCCATGATGTTTAAGTCAGTGGGTAGCCCCATTGTTCTCAAATCTGACCATATATTATCTCTCCATCGCATTCGTGGACGTCCTAAGGGCCTTCTCCCTGTCGGGACTTCTTCCCAGATTAACTTGGTAAGGCGGTTATTAGGGAGCCTATGAACATGGCCAGCCCATCTTAGACGTTGGGATTTAATCTCTTGGACTACGTCGCTAGCACTATACATTTGTTTGACCTCGGCATTTGTTCTCATTCGGTATTGGTTAGTATTCGGATCGTGATAGGGACCGAAGATCTTTCTGAGGATTTTTCTCTCAAAGCATCTGAGTTTACTTTCCATTGCTTTTGTCAGCGTCCACGTCTCACACCCATACATGAGCACCGGTCTAATTACTGTTTTATATATCCTGATTTTTGATGTTCGTGTTAGGCTCTTGGATTTAATAGTGTTGTGGAGGCTATACATACATCTGTTTGCTGCCTGAATTCTCCTTTTATCTCTTCCGTGATATCGTTATCTGTGGTGATAGTCGCTCCGAGATATTTAAAACTCTCCACTCTTTCAAAGTTATAGGGGTCTATTGTTACATTTTGTCCTATTCTATCTCGTCTCTTTTGTCTGTTAATGCACATATATTTGGTTTTCTCTTCATTGACCCTTAGACCGGTATTTTTTGCCTCTCTCTCTAATTTATTGAAGGTTTCTTTTACATTGGTGACGGTATTTCCTACAATGTCAATGTCATCCGCGTATGCTAGTAGTAATTTTGGTCCATTTACTGTCAGTAGTTCTGTTCTAATTTGTGCGGTTCTTACTACTTTTTCCAGGATTATATTAAAAAGAAGAGGTGACAGCGCGTCTCCTTGTTTCAGTCCACTGTTTATTTCAAACGACTCTGAGAGCTTGTTACCTATCCGCACTCTAGATCTACAGCCATTTACACAAACTTTAACGAGCTGGATAAGTTTTTTTTGGAACTGAAAGTTCTGCCATTGCATTCCACATCTGATCCCTTTTAATGCTGTCGTATGCTTGTCGGAAATCTATGAAGAGATTATGAATGGTTCTATTGAATTTCCATCCTTTTTCAAGCAGCTGCCTGAGAGTAAAAATCTGATCTATGGTCGATCTATTTTTTCTGAATCCGGCTTGGTATTCCCCTATGAAATTTTCTACAAAAGGTGTTAGTCTACTTAATAGGATGTTCGATAAGATTTTGTACGCCGTATTAAGTAGGGAGATGCCTCTATAGTTAGAGCACTTGGTTTTGTCTCCCTTTTTATGGATAGGAATTATTACCGTTATGATTGTTTTGGGTAAACTATAAATTATGCCAATATTATGTAATGCATAGTTTTAAAAAGTTGTAAGTGGTGTTGTGAGTGGGTCAGTATGACAGACCACGCTGGTTTACATTCGTAATTGTTACAATACGTTTTAAACATTACACACTCAAGCGTTATAATGTTATAGAAAATATTTGTAAACTGACCCGGTTGAATGATTTAAAAAGCATATCGCTTTTCAAATGAAAGAGAACATGTAGTAAGAACTAATTATTGCTAACTGGGGTTATGTTATCCGATGAATGGCGACCTCTCACAATATCAATGTATTAGAGTAGCAAAGAGTAATAGCCCTATTTTTCTTGATGAATAATGGTGAATTAAAACCCTGTCGAGTTCTAGTAAGGAGTAAGAGAAACAAACCTCACAGAGTATATAAATTGTACTTACATGCCGATGCAAGGAATCCAGTTATATCGAAGAATTTTTAACGCTCATATGCTAGGCTGTTGTCTGAAGGCCATCAGCTTAATTGCACATCAAATGTAGGATTTTTCTTAAGGAGAAACTTAGAAAACAAACAGAGATTACGAGAAAACAACTAGTGATATGTTTATTTGTCAAAATGTTGGTTATTTTATATTTATTACAGTTATTTTTATTTATTATTGAGGTATATTTAAAACATCTGTGTTATTTATTTATGTATAGAAACTTTGGTGTAATGAAAGTAATGTAATATGGCTAGCCGAGTAGAACTACTCATATGTTGTCCAAGGTTGTTTTGAATAAAAACATAATTGGAGCCCCAAATTTAGTTTCGGCTGGTTAATAACCAAATTGTGAGGTCATTAGATAAAAGAACAGAACAAACGTAGAAATGGTTCAAATACATCAAGACACTTCTTCGTCTTGATGTGCCTATCCGTTACGAATGTTGGCGATCATCATGGCAATCTTTATCTTATCTGTAGTAGCGCGGAAGAGCTGCACAGATGTTGTATTGAACCAGATTCTGAGGTTCTTTGACCAAGATGTTCTTCTTCTTCCTGTACCTCGCTTTCCAAATATTTTTTCTTGCAGGATGGCTTAAAGGAGAGCATATCCTGATTTATTTCGCATAATATATCCGAAAAATGGTAACTTTCGAGATTTAATTGCGGTCAGTACCTCTCGGTTCTTATTCATTCTTCTGAGGATTTCCTCATTTGTAATTCGGTCAGTCCACGGGATCTTATGTATTCTCCGATATAGCCACATCTCAAATGCTTCCAGTTTTTTTGCACATATCTTCGTTCAAGGTCCACGATTCAATACCATAAAAAGGGACAGAGAAGATGTGGAATCGCAGCATTCTTACTATTGTATTAAGACGGAAGTTGTGACTCTTAAAGAAGGCTCCATCCGACTGAAGGTGTTCTGATGCGTGCTCTAACCTTCTGGTTGTTGGTCCATTCTTCGTTTATTACGGTGCCGAGGTGCGTCACTCTTTCTACAGGAGATTGGTTGACGTAGGGTTGACTTTCTGTTATCCTTTTCTGGCTAATTATCATAAGCTTTGTCTTCATAACGTTTATATTGAGTCTATATTGTTGACTGTAATACGTGATTTGATTAATAAAAACTTGTAGGTCTTCTAAGTTTTTCGTAAATACTATGGTGTCACCTGAGATAGAATACCTTTTTCAGTTTCGTGCAAAACTTTGATAAATATTCTTTCAGAGTACAGATTGAAGATTAGATGAGCCAAAATACAGTCTTGCCTCACTCCACGCATAATTTTCACATGGTCAGTGTGTTCACCTTCAACTCTGAGATTTGCTGTCTGATTCCACTAAAAATTTCTAATTATTTTTCATATCTTGGTTGTTAATTCCTGTTTCTTTTAGTATTCTAAATCATCTTGGCGTGCTGTATTCGATCAAACGCTTTCTCGTAATCAATCAGACATGCGTATACGTCGCAGTCGACGTCTTTGCATCTCTGGAATAAGACTTGTACTGAGAACAAAGCCTCTCTAGTACCAACAGTAATTGTGAACCTGAGCTGGTTGGGGAAAATTTGACTTTCAAAGAGCTTGTAGATTCTCTTATGAATTATCTTTAGGAACAATTTTAGGAGATGACTCATAAGGCTTATAGTACGGTATTCTTCGCATTTTTTGGCTCCTGGTTTTTTTGGAAGTGCAATAAAGTCAGATTTCAGCCATTCTTTTTGTATTTCTCCAGCTAGATAGTCCAACCAATTTAAGAATTTAGCTGGAAACTCATCCGCGAAGCTCTCAGAGCAGCTGAAATTAGAGACCAATGGAGAAAAATTGTTAAGAATATTGAAAGTAATCACAATCCTCAGTAATGGGAAACGACAAGAGATAGAGAGAGAGAGAGAGGGAAAGAGAGAGAGAGAAAGTATACCTGACAGAATCAGAATAGTAGCATTTTGTAATTTTAGCATTTAAGTAACCTGTCCGGAGACCTGACGATGAACAGAAAAGTTTAGGGTTCGAAATCGGTCGTTCAAAATACAACAAACTGATTGTGAGTAGCTCTAATATTCTTTAACCTTGTTGAAATGGACTCACATGTACCACCGATTCATAATTTTCATATATATTTTTAATTAATTATGCATTTCTGACAATTCCCATTACGTTAGAAGAGAAGTAAATTTTACAATAGTAAAATAGAATTAGGTAAATTAATTAAAACATTATTATTACAGAGCACATTACCTTTTAAGCACTTCCTGTCGTTTTTAAAATGATTTCAAACTCTGCATTTTAATTTCTAGTTTTTTCCTATCTTTTCCTGATTCCCTTGTTTATATTTGCTTACCTTTTATCCCTTAGTTTAAGTTAATGTTCATTTTAACCGAAGAATCAACCTCTTGATACGCATTTATTTGTAGGTAGCTTCCGAACGTTTAGGAATGCAGAAAAATGGAATTCAAGATATCAAAAACCACAAATGGTTTCTCGGCGTTGATTGGCAAAAGATGCAAAAGATGGAGATTCCATCACCATTCAAGCCAAAATTGGAAGGACCTACAGATACTAAATATTTTGATAACTTTAAAAAAGATACTGACAAGACTCCTGAAGAGCTATCTGGTTGGGATGAGGGATTTTAGAAGAACTAATCAATTAATTAACTACCTAATTATTGTGATGTTATCATATAAAATTGTTATTATTGGATATATAACCAAGTGTTTATACTATCAGTTTTTTATTTTTTAATTTTTTTTTTGTTATTAATAAAATAAAATTGTTATTCATCAATCACAAATTCACAAATCATTGTTAAAATATTAATAAAATATAAATTCTTCATTTGTTCTTTTTAATAAAATATAAATTCTTCATTTTGGTTTAAAGTATCACAACTATATAATATTGTGTAACATACGGTACCTACGGTATCAAAAGGATTGAGCTTTGGTGGGACTCTTTCCATGTTATCGAGCCCTAGGTGACTTGGTAGGCTGGAGTATCTCCCAAAAATTTTCGTACACATCTGGACGTCGAGAATAGTACAGCATTCTGCATGATCTTATAGATATGTTCATTCAAACACAGCTTTTTTATGTGATAAGTCCTTCGAAAGGACACCAGCAGAAGAGAGAACAATAGGTATTGTCTGAGTACTTTTCATTCTCCATTGTCTTCGTATTTGAATTTCTAGATCTCTGTACTTGGCGATCTTTTCATTTTATTTATCGCGCAGATTATTATTGTTAGCTATCGCCACATCAATTGGTGTTGTTTGTATCTTCAATCCATTAACTAGTATGAGATCTGGTCTGTTATGTGCCACTGTTTGGTCTGTGAACACATTCCGATCACAGTATAGCTTGTAGTTGTCATTCTCAAGTATATTCTCAGTGTGATACAAAATATACATCCTAAATTAATAAAACGGTTAAGACGTTACATGTTTAAGAATACTTTAATAAATTAAAATTGTTTTTTATCAAATGTTATTAGGACAATTATAAACCAGGGCACAAATTATGTAACATGTGTGTCGCTTATAAAAAACATATTTGTTGCATCGAAGCACAGCCTTGCAAGCTAAGCATTTTACTGCAAATCAATGCTTTAATGTAACAATGGAGGTCAATAATATTATTAGATGGTTAGATTATTAGTGTTTTGGCCTCCTTGCATTGTTTTATTCCAAGTATGCGTTATATTTATTTGACCAACTCATACTACGTTTTTTGTCGCAATTATTGTCAAATTAATATTGTGGATTACAGTATGTAGTAGTTGCGTTTCAAAGTAGTTGATTAGTATCAATCGCAAGTAGTAGTTAATGCTGGTTCATTTAACCTTACACCTGGTATAGGTAAAATGCCGAAAATCAACTAAAACCGCCATTTTAATTATTTAAAAATAAGTTACCTATATTTCCTATATTACCGAGGAAAGCTTTATTTAGCGTGTAGGTATTGTTTCAGAAATGTAGGTAAGAGATGTAAGCTGTAATGTTTCAGAGATGTAAGCTGTAATGTTTTTGCATGCCTGATTGACTACAAGAAGGCTTTCGATAGAGTCAGGCATGAACAAATGCTGGAAGTGCTGAAGAGGACAGGGATTGATGAAAGAGACTTAAAAATTATAGCTAATCTGTATTGGAATCAATCAGCGGTACTCCGAATAGATGGAGAATATACAGGTCAAAATCTTAAGGGTAGTGAGACAGGGTGCATAATTTCACCACTGATATTCAATCTGTACTCGAAGCACATTTTTGAAGAGGCTCTAAAAGATATTGATGAAGGCATCTCAATAAATGGAGTCAAGCTCAATAATCTGCGGTATGCAGATGATACAATAGTGTTTTCCAATACCATAGAAGGGCTGCAAAACCTAATGAACAGACTAACGGAAGCAAAACCAAGCTAATAATCATCAGCAAGGAAAACATAACTGGAGCAAATCTGTATGTAAACCAAATGAGAATTGAACGTGTCTCACAATACAATTACTTGGGAACTATAATCAATGAGTCATGGAACAATATCCAAGAGATGAAATGTCGCATCGGAAAGGCCAAAAGTGCATTCTTGACTATGAGCTCTGTGTTCAAAAGCCATAATATCACCTTGAAAACAAAAATAAGGCTCCTTAAATGTTACGTGTACTCAGTGCTTCTGTATGGACTAGAAACGTGGTCATTGAAGGAGGAAACTCTATCAAAACTTTAGGCTTTTGAGCTATGGTTATACAGAAGAATCCTGAAGATACCATGGACAGAAAAAGTCAAGAATGAAGAAGTATTGCGGAGGATGAACACAACCGCAGATTTGGTCAACATTGTGAAGAGCCATAAGCTGGAGTAGTCGGGACAATAATGATAAATCAAGGAATATACGAGCTACTCCAATTTATTTTGCAGGGTAAAATTGAAGGAAAAAGAGCCCCAGGACGAAGAATAATATTCTGGCTTGCTAACCTGAGAGCATGGTATAGAAAAACCGAAACACAGCTATTTAGTATGGCAACCAACAAAATCATCATAGCAAGAATGGTCGCCAACGTTCGGAACGGACATGCACCCTAAGAAGAAGACTCTTTCTTCCTTACCCTAATATAACTGCAGAAAAATTTGAATTCGAGTCTAACAGTTAACAAGGTAAGTTTTTTATATTAAATTACAGTCCCTTTTGAAAATTTGTTTACAAAACCAATATTTGCGACACCAATTAGATAAATTATTAGTTCATTAGTCGGGCGTTAATGGTAATTCAAGATGTAAGCGCAAGTATTAAATCGTGAAATAAGTAATGTCATTAAGTAAAGTTATTCAGCATAAATAGTAGTGAATAAATAACTAGACACCATTTAATATATCTTTACTAATCTTCTCCTGAAGTCAAGATGTAGTTGCGTAAGAATATCACCAAACCATTGAAGCCATTAATATGGAGCCGATAAATCAATTCTATTAGTTATACCGTTTCTTATATTCAGTTGCAGCAGATGCTTGGCAGCCCCGGCAAGATATTGGATGGTTTCTTTGGCTTGACATCCATATCGGCATTTCTCGTTTTGGACCTGAGGATCTTTGAAGATATATTTCAAATATAACCTGATCCTGAATGGCGTGTTATGAACTTTCTGTTTCGGGGAAAATCTTTCCTGATGTCAACTAGCAGTTCGACGCTATATTGTCGACATAGTCTTGACTGATTCTTTGGATGTCGCCCATGCAGAGGTTTACACATTAGTTCGCATTTTTTGTCCTAGTAGTTTATTGACATTTCCGGTTACCTCAGTTTAAGCGGTGTTGTGTCATCTACTGCGTAAATCGCGCGATGTAAACTAGATGTCTCAGCTTGCATCTAAAAATAAGTTCTTAAATAAGCAATCTGTTTTTCCAATTGCTCACTTATATCCATAAGTCCTCTTTTCTCCTGTTTTTGTGCCTCTGTGAGATGTGTTTTTCGCTGCAGATTTTCTATAACCGTTTTAGTCTACTTAACAATACCAAATGAATAGCCAAGTGCGAAACATCTGTAGGTGTTTAGTGCCTTAAACAAATTTTTACCGTTAACATTTAACGTTTTGTATAAACACTGTTTTAAGCATCTGATCTAGGTGGTTTGAGTCAAAGCCATTAATTTCAAACCATCTATATATAACAGATGATTCAGCTTGGCCACTACTGTATTATTGTTTTTAATGCTATGAGTAGTTCATCGCTGAAATCATCTCTACTAGAACCACAATGAACTCAACGAATCCAGTTCTAAAAAGTCTGTTCCAAGGAAATGATCAAAGGACGATCATTACGCCGATGTTAAAGATCCCCAAGTCCAAAATGGCAAATGCCGATATGGATGCCAAGCCCAAGAAACCATTCAATATCTTATCAGGGGCAGCCGGGCGTTTGTTGGTACTTATTATAAAGAACGCCATTTTTCAGTAGGAAAGATTATCCACCAAGAAATAGCTGGCAAACTGGGACTTCTCCAAACCGACCATCCTCCTTACAATCAATACATCCCTGACAGAATACTTAAAAATGACAACTGCGAGCTATACTGAGACCACACTGTGCTCACAGACCAATCAGTGGCAAATAATAGATCGGATCTCATACTAGTTACTTACAAAACAAACAACACTTACCGATGTGGCGATACCTAGCACCAATACTTTGCGTGTTAAATACAATGAAAAGATCGCCAAGTATAGAGATCTAGAAATACAAATGAGGAGACAATGGAGAATGGAAAGTACCCAGACAGTACTTATTATTCTATCAACTGCTGGTGTTATTCTCAAAAACCTCCTAGCGAACATAAAACAGCTGGATCTAAATGAACATTTACATAAGGCCATGTAGAAGCTGTACTGCTGGCGACGTCCAGATGTGTACGAAAATTTTTGGGAGATACTCCAGCATACCAAGTCACCTAGGACTCGATAACACGGAAGAAGTCCCACCAGAGCTCAATCTTTTTGATACCGTAGGTATCTGTGATAAGTGAATTTTCTCCTTATAGGGAGAGGAGCCGTATGGCTAAATAAGCAGCTCATGTGGAAGTTTTTGTGAATTATTTTAACAGACGCGACCTCCTGCTAATGGGGGACGCTCTCTGGATGTTCGTAGTACCGATACCCAGAAGTTAGCGGGAATACCTGCCGTGGAACAAAAACTGACAGCTGGCAGGTATAAAATGCACACTTATGAAAATGAAGAATAATAATTTATGTTTAGTACCAGGATATTAAGGAGGCTCTGTCATACAATCAGCTAGAACTCAACACCAACCGCCACAAGTGAGCCAAACAAAAACAAGAGCTCAACTCGCTGAAGGTGCTGCGCTGGAACATCATCCGGCGCTCACTCAAGTAGGACGACTAAGGCTGCGCATGATATGGACTATGTCCATGAACGAAAATATTTTGAGCTTCTATTACAAGGTGACGCACCTCAGTCAAGAAAAGATCGGCTATCGACAATAGCTATATGCTGAGTTTTGTAGGGAGTACTCAGATATTCAACTATCTGAACAACGAGTAGCAGATCAATACCAGGTAATCAAAAGAAAAAATCTTATTCCATAAACGAAGTCGCGATACCTTCAAAAGCGAAGTCGAACGGCAGATTTATAACCAAGAGTCAGTTGTAGATTAAGTCCCTAACGAAATATATGAGCAGATTCCTGAGCTTGTCATACAAGAAACTCGACCCGAAAATACACAGCAGGAAAATAACAAGTTACGACATAGTATGGTAAACGAAATGGTTCGTGCCAACAACAAATAGAAAAGTATTCACCAGAAGAAATAATGTTAAGTACCACAAGACACTCACAACATGATCCAGAGAACAATAGCACAACAGGACATGGGTCATTCAAACAAAACATTTCCATTTAATCAGGCTGACTAATTAGGTACAAAGTTAGTAACAACTGGAAACGCAACAATGCGTTTTTTGAGCATGTCGAGAAAACATTCTATCGAAAATTTAATTCCACTGTAGAAATCGTACCCAAGCCAAGAAGAAATTTATGAGTTTTTCGGAAATCAACTTTCCATACTAGCTGCTATTAACACCAATGCTGGATGGAGAGAAGATACTATTGACTATTGTCAATTCTACAGTACTACTCTTTACGAATCTTTGACCAGATGGAGTTCAACACTTCTGGCTTAAGACATTTTGGAGTGTTCATGAGTGCTTATCAACACTAATTAATAATGTTATTCCTAGTCCGCTGGAAATACCATCATTTTTAACTCAGGGAACAACTTATTTAATAGCGAAGAATCACAATATTACCCAATATCCAGCAAAGCACCACCCAATTACTTCTCTTTCAACTTTGTATAAATTGGTCACATCCTGTGTAGCCCAGCGTATCTACCAACACTGTGCTCATTCAGTCATTTCTCATCAAGCATACTCCAAAAAAAGAAACCTCTTTACAACCTTTATTGCCTACAAGACAGCTTTTGACTCAGTCCTCATAAATGGCTTATAGATATATTGAGAATATATGAAATCGATGTTAACGTAGTGACTTTTTTAAAGCATATAATAACAGATTGGAAGATTAAAAGTTACCACCAAATACCTGGTGAAAACCGCAAATGAACCGTGGTCTGTTCAAGTCAAGGAGACTCTCTCTTTGATCGGTTCTCTTTCACATTGAACACTTATAACAGCTGATTTTTATAGCAAAGGGTTTGTTAATCCTAAACCCAAACCTCAACCTGAAGAACTGGATTTTTTGTCGGAGTTCATTCCCTTTACTGATTTGTTCCAGTTTTAAGGCGCTTTAGACTCTTGCCTTTTTTTACCCACATGACTCTTGTACTCCATACATTGATTGGAGGTTACGATGTATACAAAAAAGTAGGGTGTACATGTTTGCTTTTAAAAGAAATGGAGATTTCTCACAGTTTTGCTGTAACTTGTGCAAATAATTTACAATGACAAATTTTATTTCTATTCGAAATAATATTCCTTTCTAAGAAACTTCTTCTTATTAATAATATTTATTACTTGGCAGATTATGTAGTCAACCACACCATTGGTTTGTTAAAATTACTGCAATATTTGTGACATTATGTTGGCGACTACCAGTTTTGTCTGTGCAAACCGCAAAAAACTGTGCAATCAATAATTTTCAAACGTAATATAATTGATTTAATATTAACAAAGCATCATTTGATACATATGATCACATTCTTATATTTTTTTTTCAATTGCTGTTTTAAATATCGCTTTTTCAAAAAAATTGTTTTGAAATATGTGCTACACTTAATAGATAGTTTAATAATGTTATCTTAAATTAGATATGTATTCTATCGATTGTGGAACAATCTTATCATTTTTAATCACAACTAAATTGAAGAAAAGAATTAGTCCAATTTGTTGATGGGATACTATAATCAAAATCATCAATATAATCAAAATGTGTTTGTGTTTGCGGAAACATTCGTCATTTTCCCCAAGAAAAGTTGAAGTTGAATATGATAAGCAAAGACGTAATGCTGTATTTCAAAGTGGAATTGACATATCTGAACGAATACAGTTGGATCCTAAGACACAAGAGTAAGTTGTATCTTTATTCAACATATTACAAAAAACTAGACACACTAATATAAATTATGATACTTTGACACTAATAAAATTTAAGTTGTTGGTAACACTGCAACAACTGTCAAGTCGGTCAAAACAACTAACTAAATAAAACTATTTAACTTAATAATATTTAATTATTGAACAATGTCAGTGCTTTTGGAATTCTGGTTGTCCTTCATACTTGAAAGTATTCTGTTCCTTTACTTCAATTTCATATACTTTTTATCTTCTTTTTTTGATAACATAGGCTACCCAATCTTTCCGTTTCTTTGCGAGTTTTAACACACTTTGGACATCAGAAATTTTATATCTCACATTTTCACGAGCTATATAACCCTTCACTTGAGCCCAGATCAATTTGATTGGGTTTAACTCGCAATGGTAAGGAGAAAGTCAATGGTGATGCCTTTAGAAGTAGCCATGGTATTTACAACATGCTGGTGATATCTGCCACCATGCTGTCTAATAACTCTTATAAGCTTAGCTCAGCTTAATGTTCTACTAATCGGCTGTGATAAGAAGCGTTATCCATCACTATTAAAATAGGGATTCAAACCCTTTTTCAAAGCGTTGGGCTTTCATATATTTGTGATAATATCCCGTTTGGTTAAAAAAACTAGTGCACTAAAAAGCCACTCTCACTAACTATATGAGCCGTTACCCTTTACCCTTTGGTCCTCGTAATCCTGTTTATAAACCGTCCATAAATGATTGACGATAAATATTCTTTTATTATTATCATTAACTTCATTTTCCTGATTTTTGGAATGAGATCATTTTCCATTACCTTTGACCTAACGGATTCGAGGGTTGGCACTTTATTTTTTTGGTACTCGTCCAACGCAATTTTTTTTCTGCCACGACAATGTACTTTTGCAGCTTGCACACTCCCATTCACCATTTTTTCACGTACAATGCGTTCAGTTGGCGATACGGATACTCCTGTTAAAAAACACTTAGCTACAGCTTTCAGTGTTCTTCTTCAGTTCCTTATCCGGTCCGGATGTTGGCTATCATAGTTTTGTTGACTGCTCTGCGAAACAGCTCCGTAGAGGTCATCCCAAACCATTTCGGAGGTTTTTTAACCACGAGATACGACGGCCTCAAGGTCCTCTCCTGCCAAATACTTTATCCTGCATAACGAGTTGAAGAATTCGATATTTTTCTTCGTTCCACATTACGTTCCCGAGGTACTCAGGCTTACGTTGGGTCACTAAATTAAGCACTTTTTTTTTCTCACGCGCTGTAGGACCTCAACGTTGGTGACATGGTCCACATACGATATTTTTAGTATCCTTCTGTAGATCCACATCTCTCAGGATTTAATCCGCTTTTCTGTAGCTTGCGTCAGTGTCCAGGCTTCAACTCTATACAGTAACACTGGAAGAATGTAGTACTTCACTATCCTCATCTTGGTTCCTAAACTGAGATCACTGCAGCACAGCAAGGATCTCAACTTGATAAATGTAGACCGTGCCATTTCAATTCTAGATCTAATCTCTTGAGCGTAGTCCCATTATGAGTTGAGAGTAGTTCCGAGTAAGTGAATCTGTCGACTCTCTGGATCTCTTGGCTACCTGCCATTAGTGTTCCTGGATCTAAATTTGCACGGCTGACAACCATGAAACTAGTTTTCTTAGTATTAAGATCTAGTGCGTATGTTACTCTCATAGTTCTCACTCTGTCTAGTAACGCTTGTAGATCATTTAGGTTGGTTGCTATTAACACAGTGTCATCGGCGTAGTGGATATTATTGATGTATTCACCGTTTACTCGGATTCCCATCTCTAGGTTTGTGAGGGCTTCAGTAAAAATTTCCTCAGAGTCATTAATGACGGTTCATTTATTAAGGTAACATTTCCGACAGTGGGATTTTGATTCGAGGATGGAGAGGGCGATATTTTCTATGAGAGGTCTCCATGTAAAAGGTAACCGTATGGCGTCATCTCTTAAATTAAGGCAATTTGGCCTTTTTTCTATTTCTATGGTTTCTCGTATAATTCTTGGTTTATAGAAGCAGATGGGGGCTATGGTTCTGGAGTTTTCAAAATCAATTTTATGATCTGTATGAAGATGGTGAATTCGGAAGTCGAAAAGGGAATACAGCAAGCCAAAAACAATAAAGCACCTGGACCAGATCAAATCCTTGCCGAACTACTTAAACTTTTGGATGAGGAAAGCATTGCATGCTTAACCACTTTCTTTAACAAAATTTACAACGAAGGAAAAATACCAGATGATTGGTTAGAATCACTGTTTATAACATTACCAAAGAAAAGCAGGCCCACCAAATGCAGCGATTTTAGACTAATCAGTTTGATGAGTCACACACTGAAGATACTCTTACGAATTATACAAAACCGAGTATTCCTTCTATGCGAAAGTAAGATAGGTGATAAGCAATTTGGATTTAGAAACGGTCTAGGATCTAGAGAGGCACTATTCTGTATGCGCGTTCTATTACAAAAAAGTTGTGAATTCCGAAAGAATGTTTATGTTTGTTTCATCAACTTCGAGAAGGCGCTCGACAGAGTCCAACACAATACACTTTTCGACTGCCTACGGGCAGCAGGACTTGACCACTATGATATAAGAGTGCTGAAATACTTATATTACAATCAAGTAGCCTCTATCCAAATTGAAGACAGTCCCACTGAAAAAATACCCATCAAACGTGGAGTACGGCAGGGTTGTGTTTTGTCACCCACTCTTTTTAATCTGTACTCTGAAGAAATCTATAGGGAGGCTTTGGATGACAGACAAGAGGGAGTAAGACTAGGTGGAGAAGTAATCAACAATATTAGATACGCTGACGATACAGCCATTCTTGCAGAAAGTTTACAAGATCTCCAAACATTACTAAATCTAGTCAGTGAAGCAAGTTATCGGAGAGGCCTAAAAATCAACATTTCAAAGACAAAGTGGATGGCAGTTGGAAAGATCCATATAGATCAAGGTCTGCTTTCTCTTAATGGAGAAGAGATAGAAAGGGTAAATCATTTCAAATACCTTGGCAGCTGGTTAAATGTAAATTGTGACTCTGATGAAGAGATAATATCCAGGATCGAAATATCACGTAAGGCTTTTATGACCTGGAAACCAGTTGTATGCAACAGAAACCTGTCAATGAATATTCGTAAGAAGGTCCTGAAATGTTATGTGTGGTCGATCCTATTGTATGGTTGTGAAACATGGACGTTAAAAACCACAATGCTAAACAAGTTAGAAGCATTCGAATTGTGGTGCTATAGACGAATCCTAAAGATATCGTGGGTTTCGCACACTTCCAATGAAGATGTTCTTCAAATGATCAATTCAGAACGTCTGCTCATAAAGACCATAAAGAGGAGAAAAACAGAATACTTCGGCCATATAATTAGAGGACCTAAATACCATTTACTTCGCCTTATAATACAAGGAAAACTGGAAGGAAAGAGATGGATTGGTCGAAAGAAACTTTCATGGCTGCGTAATATTAGACAATGGTGTGGTTCCACAGTAGAAGAATTATTTCGCGCAGCAGCCGACAGAGAAAGGTTTGAATACGGACACGGCACCCAAAGAAGAAGAAGAAGGATGGTGAGAGTTGGTATGCAAGTAACGATTGGTATGTGTGGGTTTTCGATAAACAGAGTAATGAAAACATTGGGATTGGTTTTTCTTTATGAAAACATCGAGAAACCTTAGGGATGAATCAGTTTCCATCTCCATCGTGAACTGGATACTAGGATGTATACCATTCAGATGGATTTGAAAAGACACCAAAGCATCCCTGCCATGGGGCCAAATGACGAATATATCGTCAACATATCGTAACCAACATGTGGGCTTGAGCATTGATGTGGATAGTGCTCGGGCCTTGGTAGTCTTCCATAAAGATATTGGCAATTACTGAAGATAGAGGGGAGCCTATTGGGGCACCATTTATTTGTTTGCAGAGTTGATTTTGGAAGAAGAAATAGGTGTTGAACATACAATGTTTAATGAGAGATAAGTGGTCTTGTTGGATACTGTATTTAGTTTTCAGAATGTTTAGAGTTTCATCTATAGGAATGTTTGTAAAGAGTGAGACAATATCGAAACCTACTAGAATGTCTGACGGTGATATAGGGTATATGTTACAAGTAAAGCCTAAAATTTTGTAAAACTAGTTTTACCCGAATATTTTGCGTATTATCCCAATCGGCTGGATGAAAGGCAAAGGAAATTGATAACTTCTTGATTTATCCAGGTCTAGATCTATTCAATGCCAAATGCATAAAGCAGTATATTTTAAACTATTTATAAATAACACTACTTGCGTTTAATATTTATTTGCGTTCTTTTCTTTATTAAAAATCTACTACAGAATTATTGTCGAAAATATATAACTAGGTATTGAGAACTTGATAAAACTAAAAGTGATAAAAATCATATTTATTTTTACTTCAAATTAGAAATTTGAACAGAATAAATACGGATAAATTAAAAATACAACGAAATATTCACAAATATGTAGATTTATCCACTATGCTTGGATAATTCTAATTCTATCCGGGCAATTCTAGTTAATTCTACTTAATTATATGATATTTTTAGAGAAGAAGATCTCATAAGAACCGCTATAGAAAATAATGATTTCATGACCAAAATCTTATTTGGAGACATCCTTAAGGCTGTCATTCCAACCATGTATAAAAGGTTTATAAATGCCGGTGATGTGATCATAAAAGAAGGCAACAAAGGTTCCCATATGTATGTCTCCATAACAGGAAAATTTGAAGTATCCAATCAAAATTTCAAAAATACCTTTGAAGATGTTAGAGTATTCGGCGAACTGGCTATTATCTATGATGCTAAAAGGTTAGCGACTATAAAAGCGCTAACGGATGCAGAAATATGGGTTTTGGATGCAGTCACCTATCAACAAGTGCTGAGGAGGTAAGTATCAAAATGATCTTCTTGATTTGTAGAGTGTTTTCAATAACGAGTCTATATTTATCATATCAGTCGAGCTACCCTAGTTTAAAATAAAAAAAAATACGTTTTCTAGAACAAGAGATATAGCAAACTTTTCAGCAAAGTCCAATTTAAAGTGCCAGTCTCAAAATATGGCCGACTTTAAGCTTCTTCCCCCACTATTCACTCTTGGCAGAGTCTGAACGAGTATTTTCACTTTAAGGGCTACTACTTACATATTTCAAATTACATTAATTGCATTACGAATTGCATTATAAAAAATAGGTAATTATTGACAATATGTTTTTTAGTTTCCTTTAAAACTATCTAAATTCTTCGATTTTATGATAACTCTCAAGTAGTTTTATTCATGCTTTTAAGTTTTGTTGTTTTTTCTTCTTATGATTTTTTTATTTGTGTTCTAATTCTATGATAGATTCACACTTATTGACGAACCCCTTTTATTTTTTGTTCTTTTTTTTTCCTATGCATTTTGTAGCCGCAATTTGCACATTTAAGTTTTGGGTTTTTCCAAATTATGCGATCAAAATTATAAAAAAGCACTTCTGTTTTAGATACAATGTGAAGGAACAAGAAGAACGGGTTAATTTTTTGATAAAAAATGATATTCTTAAAAACGCTGGGGAAAAGGTGCTCAAATCTGCTGCAAACTCATTAAAATCTGAATCTTTTAAAGGAGATACAGCTATCGTAACAGAAGGCGAAAAAGGTAAGACCTAAAGAAAAAAGTAAGACAATAAAGACAAAAGCAATTTTGAGTTTGGTTTAAAATGACATTAAAATTTACCTTGCACTTATCTGTAGTTAAAAAAGGTTAAGAAACATCTCTTAGTAGAAACACTCATCCATCAAAAAATCATCTATTTCACGTAAAAACCTTATACAAGTTTTTAAAGATTCTGAAGGGTATAGGGAAGAGTGGGGCTCCTTCAGACATAAATATTTGAACTGTCATATCACTCTACATACCTCACCAAATAAAGACAGAACATATTCATAAAAGTCTGAAGGTGCCTCCACTTGGGAGCACCTTCAGACGGGGAATGGAGCAGCTTCGGACACAATTGGAAAAATGACTACCTCATATAAATATTTAAGAAATTATTTATTACCATATTTAAAACTATATTACTATACTTAATCAAACCCCTAATGCATATTGAAGTTTTCCAATTAACATGCAAAAGAGAATAATTAATTTTGTCGCTTTGTACCCTGCTCAGAAGGAGTTGGTAAAATGGCTAAAATTTCTGATAAAGAAGCACTAGAGATATCTGGTACGACGTGGTAGAAAAATTTATAATTTACTTTAGATGACATTCTCAAAAATGAAATTTCAACATCCCCATCATCACAATTACGAATGATTCTCCCAACATAGTACGCACATTTTTGTTTTACAGCCCCAAATTTAACCAGCACAAAATCTTCAATTTTCAATTCACTCCTGTCAAAATTTTGCTGTGGTTCTTCTAATACTTTATCATCAGAGTTTTTGCCATTTTCATCATCAGTTGTCTTCTCATTCTTCTCATTTTCAAAAAGTAGTCTTCTTTTCGTAGATTTAGTACTATCAGCATTAGAGTTGGTGGTTTTCTTTGTTTTTTTATCGATCTGTTTTTCTGACAGAAGAAGCTTTTTTCTGGAGTGTCAGTTATTATTCTGCTTTTCCTCTTTTCTCTTGGTTTCTTGAAGCTAGTATTGAGTTTCGATTTTGGATATCCTCGTATCTCCTCAGGACTTAAATAACAGCCAGTCTGTTGAGAGGCTGCATTACGTGGATACAATTGCGTGGAACTATTAGAATGAGCACGCCATTAGCTCTTGCTAGTTTTATTGCCTTAATTGACAAGTGGATCTCATGATTGTCGCAAATTAGAAGCTTTCTTTTTTTTTCAGAGGAACCTGAACATTTTATAAAGTGCTGCATCACATAAACGAATTTGCAAGTGGCCATCCAACCTGACTGATGACTAGAGCAGGACGTATTGTATTTCCAGCTGCATTTATAAACAAAACTGTAGTAACCAGAGTTCCTCTCTTGCCACAGCAGCTGCTACTTGTTTTTGGCCTTTTTGTGAAATCACACGAAAAGGTTCTTGGTTAGTTTCAGTTTTTGTTTTATCCATACTCCAAATCCTGGATGAATAACAGAGTTCTGGGTATCTTGTGATTAATTTTTCATAATTATTAAAAAAAAACATTTACATTATGTTTGTTAAAGGAAATTGCATGTGCAATACTGCATCCTTCAGCCATAAAACAGACCTTAAAACATTTTGGAACACTTAATTAAATATGCCTCAACATAGTCTTCCTGTTTATCTGTAAAAACCTTTCTAGTGTCGTTTCTTAATTTCATATCTTGTTTTTTATCTAAGTTATCCCTGAACTTATTAACGTACATACCAACAGTTTGATATTTTAATCCAAATCTTTTAGCAGTATTTCTTATTGATTCACCATCAAGGATGGCCGCTACACATTCTTTCATAGATTCGGAATCGAAATTTCCTTTTGTTTTTTCTTTCTTCCTATTTCTTTCCATAGCTATACTAATAACTAATAATGTATATATATATATATATAAATATATATATATAAATATATATATATATATATATATATATATATATATATATATATATGAAACCTAGAGCTAAGATTAATATTATTACAACATTTTTTACATTTTGCCAAGCTTTCGGCATCCTCTCTGATGTCTTCATCAGAGCTTCCGAGGTCTCAGTCTCCCGAGCCCCCAGACACTACTACACTGTTCACTGATCACTGCACTGCTACGTGTGGTGTAGTAGTGCAGTGATCAGTGAACAGTGTAGTAACTAAATAACTATATATATGTATATATATATATAAGATTATATATATATATATATATATATATATATATAATCTTTGCAGATAAGTTAAATAGTAAACTCTTAAATATTGGGGAAATCTTGCAGATTTCCTCAATATTTAAGAGTTTACTATATATATATATATATATATATATATATATATATATATATATATATATATATATATATATATATATGCAAAGAGATCAAGAGGCAGACCACAGATGAGGTGGAAAGATGACATCAGGAAACAAGGAGGTCCCACATGGCAGAGAACAGCTCAAGATAGGGAAAGATGGAGAGAACTGGGGGAGACCTATATCCAACAATAGAAGGATAGAGAATAGGTTCAAAAAAAAATATATATATATATATATATATATATATATATATATATATATATAAATAAGGATCACTCAGATGAGTGGTGGGTTCAATTATCGGTCAACTAGGTGGAGAAATAAAAGACAAAGTTGATACTACTTCATCTATTTCGAAGACGTTTCGCTATCGAATTCTGATAGCATCATCAGTTCATCTTTAAAAAGATATGTAGTTGTCAATGGTATTAAAAAGGTAGTACAAAAACTCAAAAAAATGGACATCATATGGTGATATTGTATAAACAATTAAATAACTAACAACATTTAGAGACTTAGTAAAACTTAGCAAAGCAACAGAACACGTGGTCTAATAAGCATATAATATTTAATATAATATTAACTAGTGAAAAAGAACTAAGAAAAATCATTGATTCACTTCCAACTACGCAAAAAATTTTATTTTATTTTAGACTTCATCTTAACTTTTGGTAGCATTATTTAAGTTAACTACATTAAGATATAAAAAATATATATAAAAAAGATATAGTGAAGTTACCACTGTTTGCTTGGCACCTGTTGCAGTTGAAAAAATGAAAAAAAAAATTGTTTTTGAGTTTTTGTACTACCTTTTTAATACCATTGACAACTACATATCTTTTTTAAGATGAACTGATGATGCTATCAGAATTCGATAGCGAAACGTCTTCGAAATAGATGAAGTAGTATCAACTTTGTCTTTTATTTCTCCACCTAGTTGACCGATAATTGAACCCACCACTCATCTGAGTGATCCTTATTTATATTAGATAGACGGTCGTACTCCTTTTTGCGATATATATATATATATATATATATATATATATATATATATATATATATAGTATATATATATATATATATATATATATATATATATATATATATATATATTTTTTATGCACGATATTTCAAAAAATGTATCTTTATTTTCCATTGCGTTTGTCTGATAGTGCCCCATACCCTTTTGTCTGAAGGTGTTCCACTCTATTTGTTCAGACTAAATGTAAAAATATGACCTAAGAGTGCCATCAGTAACAAAATAGTACGGGTTATACAGTAATAAATGGACTTAAAACTGATAGCAATGTTAATTATCCTAAGTCTTATCTTCTAATAAAAAACTCATCTTACCTTCAATCCAAAAATTTGACGTGTGTTTGTGTGTCTTTTCGTGGTTCCCACATATACCATTCCACATGTGCATGGTATTCGATATACTCCGGCCGTTGCTAATGGGTCGCGTTTGTTCTTCGCCGATCTTAAACAGTCCTTGATTTTCTTGTAGGCTTGAACATTGGCTTACATTGGCTTTTTTAAGTATTCGCCCAATTCTGTTCGTTATCCCAAATATATAGGGCAAGAACGCTTTGCCTATACATTATGTTTCTTCGTCCTTTCTTCCAGTGGCTTCCCACGGTCGGCGATTCTACAGATCATCGCGGACAGCCGATCAGCACGGACGAGAACGCACCGCAGACAGAGCTGTTCCTACGGTCCGTGACAGTCTGTGTAGGTCCGTGACAGTATTGTTTGATTATATCATAAAAAGGCACTCAGACTTGTAAACATTAAATTCGGCATTAAATTATTTCTCTTCTTTTTTAATTCTTTAATCGAAATAGTACTATTCTTCAATTGATTTTTTATTTGGTTCCATACATCGTATATATCGGTTCCGCTTCTTATGCTCTGGTGCTGTAGAATTCCATAAATTTGTTTTATTTTGATACAAATTTAAAAAATCAAAAATAACTTCGTTTGTCCATTCCATTTTTTAGCAAAAAACTGCAAAACAACTTTGACAACACTACAGATAACTACTCGTGTCAGCGAATGAAAAACTTCTGACTTGCACTTGTCGTCTGTTAAAACACAGACGCGCTAGGATCGCGTCGCACGAGCATGTACCGCACCTTTGATGTTACCGACTCTAGATGGATAGGACTCTAGATGGATAGGACGGACCAGCACAGACGTGCCTGCGCTACCACGGACGAGACCCTTCCCGTGGTGCGTGCTGGTCCGCTTACGTCCGTAATATCGCCGACCGTGGGAAGCCGCTATTCTAGAGACGTTGTTTATCGCTTTATGTATTTCTCTTCTGGTATAACCATAGATACCAAAATTAAAATCCACAAATACCCTTCCACAAAACACGAAGAAAGAAAAGCTACTACAAACGACGACACGCCCTCTCACGAACCAGTGGAGGGGAGGCGAGTAGGAAATATAAATATGGTCTTCGTAGTACAAAACGGCGTCAGTTTCAGCTTACAAGCGAAGCAGTAACATCTCCAGAAAATGCCAAACCCTAGTGTTGGCGAAACGTCGAGAACTAATCTCAGAAGACAACGGCCAAACAACCCGAAAAAACAGTTTAACCAACCACATATTTTCCTACATTTAGTTTAAGCCCAAAATCCTAATTTTCAGAGTGTCTACAACTACAACAGTATCGTCAATATTGAAGGGTCAATTTTTCTAGTGTAATTCATAACTAATATTTTTAGGTGACAAATTTTATATCGTTCGAGCGGGAACAGTGACTGTAACAAAAAAAGGGGAAGACTTTATCCAAACACACGGGAAAGGTTACTGCTTCGGTGAGCGAGCTCTGCTGGAAGAAACTTGTAGGCAGGCTACTGTGACTGCTAATCCCCCATTGGTGGAATGTCTTACATTATCCAGAAAATCCTTTTTTGAACTTACGGAATATCTTAAAATTATTCCACCAAAATTGTCCGTAGCAAAGCCTAATATTTATCAGGATATTAAACTAGAAGATTTAAAAATTTGTTTTACCTTGGGTAAGTATTGCTTGTATAAATAATTGTATAGCAAATTAACCTTTAATTTTGAATTTTTAGACTTTAACTTTATAAGTTACTGGTCGATATTTCAACCAGTCTAAAACAACAAGTTTCACAAAGCGGCACTGGTTTAAAATTGTGCCAGTTGCTAAATGAGCATGTTTCCAGTCGGTTAATGGTGTAATATAAAACCAGTTCCTGAATTAGCGCGAGATATCGATTAACCGGTTAAAATTTCAACCAGCGTGCATAACAAACAACATCGGGCTCACACGTATTTAATGTTTGTTTTTTTAAAAGTCTTTTTGTGTAGAAACAATTTTTATTACCTATCCTGCAAATTCAATTCATCGAAAATATATTGATGTCATTTTATCCAGTTTACTGTACAGAAAACGTATGGATGTTGACTATGAACCGTAAAACAGACAGCCGAAGATCAGGCCATCGACTCTGATATGGAAGGAGATCCAGATGTTGAAGATCCACTATACGACCATATTCAGTATCTACATCGGGGAGAGGTAAAATAAGTTATAAAGAAATGCGTGATAACGTCTCCAATTTCGACACCGATGACTCAGTGCATGACCGGGACTTTCTGCCATCAGATCTTAGCAATCGGATCTTCTGATGAGGAAACGTCATATCCTGTTGTCACACCACTTTAGTCTACTCAATAGGATGAATATTACTGGATGAAGGATTCGATCTTATCTCATATCTCCAGCTGCAAGCCAGCCTGCGCTTGATATTTTTTGGAAATATTTGAAGAGGATCTTTTGCTCCTAATGATCGACGAGTCTAATCTTTATGCTCAGCAAAATGGCAAACAGTTGGACTAAATAAGCTAAAAGAATTTATTGCTATTCTAATTATCATGGGCTTCAACCACTTGCCAAGTTTATGTTTGTATTGGTCGACAGATCCAAATTTCGATTCAGATAGTAGAGAATATCTAGTATCATGCCCGTAAAAAGGTTTTTTAAAATTCTACGATATTTGCATATTAGTAATAATCAGAAAATGTCAAAAAGAGGAGACCCAGATTTTGACAATTATAAATTTAGTTGTAGATGAAAGCATTATTGCTTTCACAGGCAGAACCAGTTTAAAGCAATACATCCCAATAAATCCAACAACAAGAGGCATTAATCTCTAGCATGCTATGAAACTGGTTATTTGTTAATTTTTTGTGTATATGAAGGCAAAACTGAAAGCAATGAAGAATATCCTCTTGCTGAACGAACTGTTTTGGAATTGACCTAGCCTTTTGTAGCAAAGTATGACTGTGTCTACTTTCATAATTTTTAGCAGCTTTACTCGTACATTGCAAACCAAGCTTCTGGATTGGAAATTGTTTGGTTGTGGGATTTTAAGAACCAATAGAACAAATTTTCCTATAGGTGAACTGGCAGCCGATAAAAATTTAACGACTGGCGATTTTGACAGTGTTGACCAGCAATATTTCAGTGAATAAATGGAAAGATAGAGGAAAAAATGTGCCATTGTGGCTAGTACCATACACAATATAACAGAAAAATCTTCAGTTCAGCGTATGATTAAAGAAGGATCAAAAATATCAGTACAATGTCCAAAGAGTATTGAAGATTATAATCGAAATGTGGGTGAAATTGATCTTTTCGATCAACTTTATTATTTATAGTTTATTTGTATGTAGCTTCTTCAGGAGAACAAAGAAAAAGAAAAAGAAGACAGGAAGATGGGTAGTTAGCAACGGTAACTCAGTTACTCAACGCAACCAGAGGCGAATACTAATTACCAAGATGGGCATTTGGTCACAGTAACTCAACTACTCAACGCAGCCAGAGGTGAAAACCAAATGCCAGGACAGGGATTCACGTCCAACAGCTCAGAACACTAACGCGTCGAGAGGCGGGGAGTGAATCCGACGATTACTCCGCTACCGCTCTATTTATAGTCACGGTGACCTGTCGTGTCGGGACGTATCGGCACACTCCGTGGCGCGAACGTCAAGAAGCGCGCGCTGGCCAATCATGTGGCTGCATCGTGGTAGCGGGACCGGACGGCGGCTCTAGACTGAGATTCCAGATGGGAGACAAGTAGTATCCTTCCTCTCGATTGATATTATGTGGATTTTTTCGGATCTCTAGAGATTCGCGGATTTTCCTGGAATAAAAGAAGGGGCTCTTAGAAATAATATGGGTTTTTTCGAACAATATGGAATGACCGGTTTCTTGGCAGTCTTCTGCAACTGCAGAATGGGAGAAAAGACCTGATCGAATGCATCTTTGATGCTCTTGAATCCGAGTTTTGACGGAACGACCAGTTTCGCCAATATACTCATGTCCACATGAACAAGGAATAGAATAGACACCACAGGAAGATAGGGGTGGTAATGGGTCCTTAGGAGAGGGTAGATATTGTGAGATTTTCTTGGGTGGTCGAAAAGTAGTTCTGATACCTTTTTTGCGAAGAATTTTGCCAATCCTATCAGTGACACTTCGAATATACGGAAGAAAAGCCACAGGAGTATTATCCGAAGATTCTGAATTTGTCGCCCTAGGGTGTAAAGGGGGATGTAGATGTCGGTGTGTAATATTTTGAATTGTGGACTTGGAGTAACCGTTGGCGACAAGGGTTTTTTGCAGATGGCCAAGTTCTTCTCTAAGGTTGTCAGGTTCAGAAATCGAAATGGCCCGATGGATGAGAGAGTTGATCACAGAATTCTTTTGGGCAGGATGGTGGTGTGATGAAGCATGTAGGTAACGATTCGTGTGAGTCTTTTTTCTATAAACAGAGTGACCCAAACGGCCATTGGGCTTGGAGGTGACTAACACGTCGAGAAAGGGAAGGGACCGATTATTTTCTACTTCCATTGTGAATTTTATACTCGGATGTTGTGAGTTAAGATGATCTAGGAAGGGAGAAAGGCTATGTTGACCATGGGGCCAGATGATAAATGTATCATCAACATAGCGGAACCAGACTTTCGGTTTTAAGGGGTAAGATTCTAGGGCTAAAGACTCAAAGGCTTCCATGAAAATGTCAGCAATGACAGGGGAAAGGGGAGAACCCATTGGTGTTCCAGATATTTGTTTGTAGAAATTGCCTCTAAAAGAAAAATATGTTGAAAGGATGCATTTTTCCGCAAGATCTGCCAAAACCAAAGACTTGTTATCATTGGTCAAGTGATCTCGCAGAACAACTAGAGAGCAGAACTTTATTATTGTTTGAGCATTGCCTGGAAGTCTCGAAGATGGTGGTGAAAACTTTGGTAATACTATTTTGTCGATGCTAATATGCGATGCGTAAATGCATAGGTATATTATGTACAAAACTTCATCTTTGAAGCAGCCTCGAGGTAAACCTTAAACGCAACTAGTATTCAGAAATATTCTGGTAAATCAACTTAGAAGAATTTTTCACCACGTAACAAACAACAAAATTTGTTTAAAATATTAATGTTTATATTTTGAGAACGATTTTCGAATCTTCAATTTTGGCTTATTCTCATTAAAATTGTAATTACTTTAAGATGCCACAAGAAAATAGCTTCAGACCAAGAATGAAGAAAAATTCGTATAAAACAGAATGGTCATTTTAAGATAAAAGCTGAGACAAAGTTAATTAGAATGCTAAATAAGTATAGAATCTACAGATACATTTAGTATTATTTATAAAACGAATTTTATAAAGTATATATGTAAAAATTATCAACATTCTCTTTTTCGATTTCTACATTTCAGTCAAGGGTAGAACAGCTAATTTGAGATATTTCAAGGCTAAAATTTGTTGTTTGTTTTAGGTATAGGTGGATTTGGTCGCATCGAATTGGTCAAACACAATGAAACTAATAAATTGTTCGCCCTAAAATACATGAGTAAGATTGATGTCGTCCGAGACATGCGTCAACAACACGCCATTAATGAAAGAAAACAAATCCAATGTTCTTCTCCGTTTATTTTAGATATGTACAAGACATTTAGGGATAATAAATTTGTTTATTACTTACTGGAGGCTTGTCTAGGTAAATATATGTTGCAAATTAGGATAGATTATTGGAGGTTGGCGAAAAACTAACGAGATATTTTATAAAATAATCGAAAAGATACAGAGTGTACGGAAAAAAACAATTAAAGTCATTGATCCATTCAAATTAAATTTTATAAACTATTTCTATAGATTTTAGATAAATTACAATATTATTCACTCAAAAATTAATGCCCAATAATAGTACATTGTTTACCGGGTAGGAAAAGCTTAACATTCCTGGACGACTGTGAAGATTGCTAAGTCGAGGCGCAAGCCGAGACTTAGCAACACAGAGTCCAGGAATGTGGCTTTTCCTACGAGGTAAACATACTATTTTTCCGCAAATCGTTTAAAATTCGACAGATATTGATTGATTTAAAAAAAACGCGATAATTTTATTCCCAAATAAATGGTGCTTTGAAATTCCTAATAAAATTACTTGGGTTACTATGGAAACGTATTGAGATTGAATTGTCAAACTTGACGCTTATGTATGTAGAACACTAACAACTGTACGGAAATATCATTTCCTTACAGTAAGGAAATGACATTTCGTTACAGTAAGGAAGTCCTGACTTTTTCTTCAAGAAATTTTGACAGGAATGTCAAAATTTCCTGGCGATTTGCTGAAAATTATTTTTTTTTCAAACATCAAATAATGATGACATTATTTATCTAACTTGATCCTGTCAAAATTTGATGTCTCCGCCGGCAGCAGTTTTTTTTCCATTTCTTTACGACGGAGGGAAAAATGTGTCATGGCAACAATATGAAACATGTCACAAAGCAACAATACAAATGTCATTAACAACAATTAAACATCATTTTTATTTATAGTAATATTAAAAGTACAATTAGTTAATGAGGCATTTTCAAAATTGAAACCGTGTAAAAATGTTCCTGACTCTTGATACGCATTGGTAATTGTTGATGATACTGATAGTCGAGAACAACTTTCAGCAATCATTCCCGATGTTGGCGAATCATGAGGGTTTAAAATTTTTTGAGAATTATCGTTTTTATTTCTTATTGAATCCTCTATATATCCTTCGGCAACCGTGCTTAATTTTCAGCCCCCATGTCGTTTGAGGCATTCTAGATTTCCGCCTCCATCAATTAAAAGTGTTGCTGAAGTTCGTCGTAAAGAGTGACCCGTGTCTGTGCTTGTATCGTTTAAATTTAAATAACTAGCTACTTTTTGGGCTACTGCGCTGATCGAATGTATTCCCATGACGCTACGGTAACACTTTCCATTTTGGTACTTGATAAAAAATCGGTTTTCTGTGAAATTTTCAGGCCGCAGTGATGCATACTTTTTATACAGTTTAATGTAGTTTTGACCAATTATCGTAAAAGATCTAATTTGTCGTGTTTTACTGTCTGGGATTTTGATAATTATTACAATTTCTTTATCCTTAATGTCCACAGTCTTCATTTTTTACCATTTCGTCACATCGACAGGCGCTGGTAACCCCAACTAACAAAACAATCTGAAATATTTTTATTATTTAGTAGAGTATACTACATGCTTTGCAATATAATTTTTTTTACCTTTAATCCTAAATACAACTTATGTTGCACTTCAAACAAAAATTTATCAAACTCGTCTTTAGTGAAAACTTTAGACTTCTTTGCAGTATATCCTTCGCTTGTTTTTTTCAGAAAGGCACGTAACTTTACCAATTTGCTTACATCCACATTTTTTTCTAATAACTAACTCGGATTTTATCATAGAGTATCGTGACCACATTGTAGAAGATTTCCATTTATTTTCATTTTCCATTATATTACAAAATATGCCAGTAAAACGTCTTCGGTAACTTGCCGTACTCCTCTTGTATCGCACCACTCTTGGAAGTGCTTGCACGCTAACCGATACTTTATTCCGGACTTGGAGGGCCCCAAAAGTGCTAATTGCGATCATTTATAAATTTGCGCTTGCGGTTGCAACAACAATAAGCTGTCTTTAATAATTGCAAACAACTGTCAAACAACTGTAACCAGGGAGACGCAAATCCCACCGACGACTTAATTATTTTAATTTCTAACATCTAGACGACTTTGATAGTTGTCACAGTTAATTTCGAGTAAAAATAGCGTATGAATTGTACTATTTATGGTTGAAAATTGCTACGTTTGAAGAAAAAATAGTATACTTTATTCGGCAAAGAAGCGACTTTCCTTGACTTGCCCTCTATTACATATTATATCTTGTATACTTGCCAATATCGGGCGCGTCAAGACAAGTCATGCTTCTCCGCCTTATAAAGTAATATACTATATACTGTTCGGTATGTTAAAAGTCACACGATGATTAGGAAAACAATATTATTTACCGTATACATAGCATATTTTAGTTTTATTTTATTATTTTGAGAACTTGCGAGATATTAACAGAAAATTAGGAGTTTTTTACAAAACAGCATAAATCCACTTTTAAAAAATTTTCAGGAGACATAAAAACGTCTGGAGCTATTGTACTAAAATTTTCGAAATTTCTGAGAACGTAATCAATTGAGGTTAGATTTGGAGAAATAAAACGTTAATTAACATTATTTTTATTGATTTGCATTAACAAAATATAGCCATGTGTCTGTTGGAGGTATCGCGTTTTGTAAAAAACGATGGGAGATATTACCTTTTGTCAAACTAACAATATCTTAGAAATAAAAAATATATAAACGGTACCCACTAAAACAAAAAAAAGTGAGGAGTACAAAAATTTAGATCTGAACATTTTTTGGCTCATCCTTCAAGTAATCACACTCGCCATCATGGTAGTTGTGGGTTTCTGAATCTGGATCACTAGTAACTTTGTGTTTAAGAACACTAATATACCAATGAAGATCAGGGATCTCTTTCCAATTTTGTCCAAAGCGGGTTTGCAATAAATGAAGGACTTCTTCTTTTGTATCTTCAGTCACGGAATGAGATAGTGGGATTTGGGGAAGAGCCTGAAGAAAATCATTTGTATGTTTTTTACAATGCTTCTAAAAGTTTCTGTTCCACTATCGAACCTATAGTTTCGATATATCGAACGTTTAGTTTGGCTGATTCCTTTTATTTTTTGATAAATCATTTCAAGGCTTTTGATATCGTATATCATCCAATCTTGTTCCAGTTTCTGTACAGAGCTTCTTCGTAAATAGAAGCATACTCTTCGCTCGAGATGATTTAATACTCGATAATTTTTTTCAAGCGCTTGAATCTACCTGAGGATGAAAAAGGATATTTATAGTTTAGATATTATGTCATTGTTTATCGTAACATTGCCCCCGTCTTAAAAGATGGTTCCTCCTGGAACCTTGTCTGGACTGGAACTGGAATGTTATGCTGATATCGGCAACTGGATCCTGTTTTACAACTTCCAGTTGTATAAAAATGACAAGGGACGGTTTTCTCTCCACACCAGTAACTATGCGGATTGCAACAGACTAACACCTGGACTTCGGTGTCTTTAAAGATCTCCTCCACCATATTTTGGATAACCTTCCAATCTAATTGGCGGATTTTCAACTTTGGCATGGCAAGCCACTTTATTGTTGCTTCTTAAAAGGCAGAAAATATTGATTTTTCACGTTGAGAACCCCTATGAATAGCTCTTCTGACGAGACCTATTAGGTCGAAATACGTATCAAGAGATACATAGGATTTGTTTGCGTGAAATCAAATATTTGCTGCCTTTTCTCAGGAAATATATTTGTTTTCTTTGCCTATTCGCTGAAAATATGATTTTATATCTGTGTTAGATATCCTGTTAAATTCTACCATATCGACCATAAACTTTTACCTATACTTTATATATATATATATATATATATATATATATATATATATATATATATATATATATATATAACACTGTTTTTTGATGGGTTGGAGTCAATAAAAGGGGCTATTTGTTGACTATTTTTTACTCGAGCTTTCAATTGTGATTACAATTTTTATCAAGAGCTTCAAATAAAATTAGTTTTTTATATAAAACTACTGCTTACATAATAAATACAAAAAATATTAATAAAAAAATGCCTTATTCTAATAAATGTTTCTCTGAAAAATTTAAATGAAGTTTCTTAAGAAAAAATTGAATTTATAAATTCCATTTTTTCTAACTTCATCTAAATTTTTCAGATAAACATTTATTAGAATAAGGCATTTTTTTATTAATATTTTTTGTATTTATTATGTAAGCAGTAGTTTTATATAAAAAACTAATTTTATTTGAAGCTCTTGATAAAAATTGTAATCACAATTGAAAGCTCGAGTAAAAAATAGTCAACAAATAGCCCCTTTTATTGACTCCAACCCATCAAAAAACAGTGTTATATTTTTTCCAAACGAGTCACAAGTACTTCTTTTTTCTTACTCTTATATATATATATATATATATATATATATATATATATATATACATATATTTATATATATATATCTCTACAGTGGTCAAAGTTGATCCCACTGGTCAAAGTGGGTCATGTTTAATGTACCATTTTTGCATTCTATATATATTTAATTCTGTTCTGTTTTAGCTGGAGATCTATGGAACATTCTTTATAGAGAAATCCCTGATAAACGGTTCAAAGAAAAAGAAGCCAAATTTATAGTCGGCTGTGTTCTAGAAGCTATCGAATACTTGCATTCGAACGAAATGATATTTAGGGATCTGAAGCCGGAAAACGTGTTATTAACGTCTAACGGATATTTTAAACTAACAGATTTTGGATATGCCAAAAAATTACCCAGATTTGAAAAGACTTTTACTTTTGCTGGTAAGTTATCTACTAATCTTATAAGTTTTCTATATTTCAGACATTTCTATTTCGAGGCATATCTCCACCGACGATACTGTTATATTAGTGATTCACGAATATTGAGGAGAAGCTTCTAAAAAATAGGGGAAGGGTGGCCATGCTAAGGAATATTTGTTTTAGTCGTCAGTAAACTTCTGTCTGTTTAAAGGAACTATCCCATATTTTAAAAACCCCTTTACCGCAATAGTTGGAGTAGCTGCAAACGGAAATGCCTCTCCAAGAAGTTTAGATACCTGATACTGTATCACTAATCTACTAGGATTATTACGCAAGAATCTTTCGATTGCTTGGAGATAATAAATATTGAAAGGCCCCATGAAAGAAACATCCAGTGGCTGCAGTTTATGATTATAGTGGGGGGAATACAAACTGCAGTTGTGTGATTTTCTCTAGCCCTTTCAATGCAATCTAGATTTTTTATATGGGTGGAAGCATCAAGTATGAGCAAAACTGGGTTGTCTTCGGATGGGTTCACAAACTTTGTCAAGAAATCGTCTAACTATTGTGTGAAAATCTCAGTTTGCATCCACCCTGAAGGATAGCAAACAAAAGCTGTTCCAGGTGAAGCACCGTCTTGAAGCTCCACTTTCATCCATTGTCTAGGGAAGATTATAAAAGGAGGAATAAAAACTCCCATAGCTGGCATAGAAATTACAAATGTGCTGAGAATACCGCTCTCTGCAAATATAAGAGATCCTACTTGCTGTCGCCCTTTTATTAGAACAAAAACCTTTGAAGACTTTGACTGGACTGTCATAAGTCCGGTTTCATAAACATTGTAAAATTTATGAGGAGGATACAAGTGATGTTTTTGAACATCCTCCAAAATGTCAAAAAACTTGGTTACATTCGTTTTGTTAAATGCTTGCGCCTTTGCTGCTGAAATCACCTCAGGTTTTCTTAACATAAGCTCAGGATGGCGCTTTCTGAAAGCAGTTACCCAATCTTTTCCTGCCAATTTTGTTTCTTTATTGAGACCATGGGGATGTTATTCCGTTCAGCCGGTTGGTAAGCAAGGCTACGCAAATCAGCTACAGTGATTCCAAAAAACGTACCTCCAACTCCAAGAGATAATTTACCAACTACTGTTCCTGTTCTTCATTTAAAACAGCTCGAAAATGGCCTTATACTTTTTTACTGTCAGTGGCGTCTTGATTTTTATTTAGTACGCGACGTTTTAGTGTGTTCCTAGGCACATTGTAGTTTTAGCAGCCGTGTGATAAGGCATTCCTTCAATAACTTTGAAACAAATGATCAGAACAGCTTACACCTTTAACACATCTAAGATGACGTTCAAATGAAAGAGTTGACGGGCCTGTCGCTGTGTATCAACACCGTACTGTGCAGTAACAGCCAGTGACCACTATGCCCGCAGTGATCACTATGCCCACCCTTCCCCTAAAGAAAAATTACTTAGAGTAAATAAACTAAAAGGTTTTATAAACATAATAAATCCTATGCTAATAATAATAATATATTATTAACCAATTGACTAATGTGACTAACCTTTTACCATCTATTTTTATGGTTCTTGTTCAATTTTCTCACATGCGAAAAATCATGTTATTTTTTCGCTGTATTATTAACTATCCTTTTATCACAATTTTACAATCATTATCCTAGTCCAACCCTTAATAACCCTACCTACGTACAGTTCAACCCCCTCCCTTACGAAATACAGACAGTTCTAAGATAGCAAAGCAGAAACTCACTCTCTTGATCATCAGCTGTCGATTAGGACAGAACTCTTAGTTTTTGGCCATCACTAGTGCCAAACGTTCTTTCTCTTGATGGTCGCCCGTCGTTAAGGACAGACCATTTTTCTCACCTCTGTTAGTTTGGCCATCACTAGTGCCAGACGTCCTCTCTCATTCATTATCTCTCTCTCTCTCGCCTTAGTTACGCGAGAAATATTGCAAACACTATTTTAAATCGTGTACAGACAAAGTGTGCTCTATCTCACAAAGTGTAATACCGCGAAACACGTGTTTAGACCAACCGCGAGTGTGCCCGGACGTATTCCGCATAAGAAAAGAAAAACCGCGAGAGTGTGGAGCAGAAAAATATTGGTAAGACTTTTTATACACTTAAATTGCTATTGTCTGTATACCTTTTATTACTTATCCTAATTTTATTGAACCAGCCCTATAATACAGTCCACAAACACGGAAATTATATTAATAATTTCCCATATATGTACACATTTTTGTACAGTTCTGACACTTCTTTTGTGTTCATTTTGCCATGTACGACACATTGTCCTATTTTGGAAGATCCATGTTTAAAAAGAAACAAACTTATTATACAAAAATTTCTTTGTAATACAATTTCTTAAAAAAAAGTTTACCCAATTCGTTTCAAATCTAACCTAACCTAACCTTGTAAACTTAATAACTTTAAAGTTACAAGTTTTTCTAAAAAAAAACACTATGATTTAATAAACATTTTTTATAAACAATCATTCTGTCTAAATTTGCTAATTTGTCAAAGTTTTTACTTGTTTTGTACATATCGTAAATATCATCATGAATACCACTGACATTCAACTCTATTTGTCTTTTTGTAATGCCGTTTTTTTATTAGGTAATTCTAAAAGTTCATTTTTTTAACTGCTTGGGAAATATATAATATATAACAGAGAGCGACACACTAAAATACGTAATACATAAAAATACATAAAAAAACATTTTAATACAAAATTATATACTCTAAATTATATAACTTACCTCTTTTAGAGCATTTAAAAGTAAAAACGTTCCGCCATTATTTCTTGTTCAAATTAATCTATTAAAACTTATCAGCTATTATCAGCTTTATACAGACAGTTGTTTTTGGCATAGCACAATTACAATTCACAACAATAATTAGTTTTAAAGCTATTAAGGTAAATTTAATATGTATTTGTAAACACAATTTATTAATATATAATATATTGTGAATCAAATTGTGTAAGAAATCAAAACACAAACAAAATTCTTACTCTAAAAAAACGACACTACTGTAAACAATTTTGCCTAACGCTGAAATGTCATTGAAATTTGAAGTATTTCCATATCAGTGGTGTACGAGTGTCTAATTTATTTATTTAATTAAAATTTATTTTGTGCAGTATTAAACTTAAACCGTTATTTCATAAAATTTATATTATTAATAATAACAAATGTTCTTGGTTATTTAATCAATATAATTCTAAAATTCTCAATATAATCATGATTACATTTTGATTTTTTTCTTTCATCATTCATTTTTAATCAGTTTACATTCTGATTATTATACCATGTTGACGCTTATGAAAGATCGAGTAGTTCCGTATAGGTGTCGTATTATTAACTGTGTTAGGGAAATTTTAACTCTAAGGTTGATGTTCTGACAAATTGACTGTAGTTTTTTCTGTACTATAAAAAGTAGTATATAACGCATATTTAAAAATAAATCTGTTTAAATTTATGTAAAAGTCTCTAATCCTTCTTTTAGGAACCATTGAATATGTAGCTCCAGAAGTGGCATCTAAAAAATCATATGATAGAGCGGTAGACATATGGACAATTGGAATTTTTACTTTCGAAATGCTCTCTGGAAAAACACCATTCGCTGGTTCAACAGAGAGCTCAACGTTCAAAAAAATTTTAGACGGCATCGAAAAAGTTAATTTTCCAAATTTTGTACCAGCGGCAGCCAAAGATTTAGTTCTTAAACTTTGTCGTCAGAATCCACAAAATAGATTAGGTAAGCCAATGGTGCGAAAAGTTTGTATACCGTTTATGACATACTGGCCACGCGTTTAACATCCAATGTGCTTCGGGCATATTTGTTTCTGATGCCTCCTCTACACATCGGCAGACGCGTCTGCGGACGCATCTGCAGATGTATCATCACAAGCTGACCACACATCTGGACACATCTGTAAATCTTTCAGTCTGTATTAATTCCCGGGAGACGCAATATCTAAGCGAGCATTAAAAAAATGGATGTTGACGTTGAGACCATAGCTGCCGCAGCTATATGCCTATTTAGAAAGTTCAACTACTACTTGAGTATACGTCGGAATAGAATCATTAAAAAAATGGAAAAAAAGAAGTCAGAGGTCAGATGTGTGAAAAGGCGTAGGACGTCTGCATCTAAACCCTTTGATCTGTGCCTAAAAAACGTGATATATAAACAACAGATGATAAAATGACCCCATCTACACATCTCCAGATGCATACGTAGATGCCGATGTGTATGTAGGAGCCATTAGATGGAAAACAAACACTTACTGGATTCTGTTTCAGATAGTTGTCATTAAATTATTGCACTTAGTCTTCTAGAGCGTTTGTTAATATTTGTTCCTCGGCCTCATAAAAGATTCTTCCCTAGACTGCCACAACTGTATTATCTAAGTGAATAAATTGTTTGGTTTGTTGGTTTATGGGTTGGTCGTTAGTGTATATCAGTGATTCCCAACCGGGGGGCGATCGCCCCCTTGGGGGCGATTTGAGATATTCAGGGGGCGATAGAGCGAAGGGGGCGATATGGGGGGCGACAGAGAAAAGGGGGCGATAAGGGGGGCGTTTAGCATCGAGAAAACGAGAAATGGGTAATTGAGAAAAATAAGAAAAAATAAAAAAATACAATACTTTTGATCATATATCCATAGGATAATAAAAAGTATGCAGGTAAAAAAATGCAGGTAATAATAACAAACATCTCTAGTCACAGAGAGCTATGAATCATAATACAATTTAATTCTATACATTGTCGTTATAATTATACATTATAACGAATTCTGCATTTTCCTATGATCAGCTTTCGTATTGTGCGATCATCCGCACAACAGAGAAAGAGAGAGAGGTGGGATAAGAATGATGAGAAGTAGGTACCGCTCCTGCCGATCTGACTCGAACAAAAAGCGAACGACCGAAGTTGTCGTCGCTTCAAATGCGGAGTCTTTCGTTCTCGAGTTTTGTATTGTGGTATTATATAAAGTTGTTTTGTTTTAACGTGTTTCAACTGACAATAATTGTGTTCAGTGAGTAGTGAGTTGTTATTTTAATAAAAATACTGTGATTTATTTGTGAAACTGTTAAGTTTGTCTTTCAATTTGGACATAGCCACTTATCTTATCCAACACGTGGCGTCACAATTCACAATATTAGAATCATTCTTAGTCACAATGTTAGAATTTGGACAGTGACGTCGACGCGTGGTAATATAATTATTTATTGAGAATTGCGAGATAGTGTTTTTATTCTTTGCCTTCTCAATAAGGTGTAATTAATTACTCTTTTGTTTTTATCTTAAAATGTCAGCACCTAAAAAAAAGTGCCGGCAGTACTCAACGGAGTATTTGAAATATGGATTTATTGAATTGCCAGGAAATAAGAATCTACCATTGTGTCTCATTTGTGCAAAATCGTTGTCAAACGAAGCTATGAAGCCGTCTCGGCTTATGGATCACTTGAAGAGGATTCATCCAGAGAAGGCAGACAGACCCGTCCAATATTTTGCGGTGAGTAAAAAGTCTTTTATTTGTAGGATGTAATTTTCCCATGTACACTTTGCGTCATAAAAAACTGGTACACTTTTTTTTCCCAATGTAAAACTGTGTTCACTGGACACAATGGTTAGTAAATCACTTCGTTGTTGCCATCACAGATAACGAAGTTTCACTAAATCTAAATAAAAAACAATGTTCAAAAATATATCAAGTTTTTAGATAGATATTATTTTTATAGTTAACAGCAAAAACCCGTATCTAATAAATTTAATAACCAGAGAGAGGATTGAGTTAATGTCCAAAATGTTTGAATATTCTTTAAACGTAGGGTATTGGCACAGGAAACATTGGATGCAACTACTTATTTTTACTTTCTATTACCAAAAGTACGTATAGAAAATTTTGTTTTTAGTTCGTTTTTGTACAATTAAAAAAAAACGATTTTAATTGTGTTTTGAGAATCACAAATTATCGTCTTTCTGATAAATTTAATAATCTGATACGCCTATAGTAGGATTCGAACCACTTACTTCCAGATCCGAAATCCCCCTTCCACACTACACCACTGAGGCCGGTGTGTTTGTGCGTAGTAATCGATTTAGTATTTCTGAACAAAATAATTACGATCCTCAGATTCCAAGAAGGTTTATTTTTTCTTCCAAGAAAGATTTTAATTATAAGCACTGTATTTCACCTTAAGGTTGGATTATTTCGTTGTGACATCACGACTGTGATAACACAAGTAATAAGAAAACCTTTTTAAAACTTTATTACCATTACTTATAATAATTAAAGTGAATGTGTTTTTCTTTTGTTTACAGGAGCTCAAGGCAAAGTATGAAAGGCGAGTTACTGTTGGGTCATTGATAGCAAAAGCAACCAAGAAAAACGACAATGGTTTACTTGCTTCCTACAAGGTATCATTGTTAATAGCAAAAAGTGCCAAGCCGCACACAATTGGAGAAGAACTCATCCTCCCAGCTGTCAAAGAGATAGTTGATACTATGTTGGGACCCAGTCAGGCCAGCCAAGTAACAGATGCAGTTCCTCTCAGCAATAATACTGTCTCCAGAAGGATTGATGAAATGGGAGCGAATGTCGAAGATGTTCTCTGCAACAAATTGAAAAGCAGAGAGTTTACTGTGCAACTTGACGAGAGTACCCTGAGTGACAACACAGCTTTGCTGCTGTCCTATGTCCGATTCATTGACGACAATGGAGAAATGGCCGAGGAAATGCTGTTTGCTAGAAGTCTGATTACTGATACAAAAGGATCTTCCATATTTGAGGTCGTTAAGAGATTTTTTGAGGAAAAAGAGATTCCTTTATCAAATATAATCGCCTGTGCTACTGACGGTGCAGCAGCAATGACAGGACGCCATCGGGGATTTATTGCACATCTGAAACAAGCAATACCTGGAATTTTGTGTGTTCACTGCGTCATTCACAGAGAGCATTTGGCTGCCAAGAATTTGAGTGGGAGGTTGCACGATTCTCTTCAACTTGTCATAGATGCGGTAAATAAAATTAAAGCAAAACCAAAGAATGATCGAATATTTCGTACACTCTGCGAAGAAAATGATGAGATATTTAATACATTGCTACTACATACGGAAGTCCGCTGGCTTTCTAAAGGCAATTGTTTACGGCGGTTCTTCAGTATCATGGATACTGTTATTGAATTTCTTAATACTACTGACCCCACACTGAGTACAGAACTACAAGAGAAGCGAAATGACATCGCTTACTTATCGGATATTTTTCAAAAATTAAATGAAATGAACCTACAACTACAAGGGAAGAATATAAATATGGCCAAAGCGAAGGGAGTAGTCGGAGCATTCATTGACAAACTAACTATTTTTGAAGAAAATATGCAGAGAAGAGATCTGACCAAATTCCCCAACTTGAAATCTTCTTGTGGTGATTCTGACGATCTTCAAACATACTGCCTTCACCTTCAAATACTGAAAGAAGATCTGCAGTCTCGATTCCAAGATTTGACTAGTCTGAAAGTGCCAACTTGGTTTATCAATCCTTTCAGCGTGGAAGTTTCAACGGTATGTTCTTCTCTTCAAGAAAACTTGATTGATTTGAAACATGATGTTGAAATTGAAAGTTTGTTTCGGGAGTGTGGGTATGAAAAATTTTGGCCGCGGATAAAAGAAGTATATCCAATCTTGTGGAATGCAATCAAATTATTATTATTAGCATTCCCCACAACATATCTAGTGGAGAAAGGTTTTAGTTCTGTATGTATATTGAAAAACAGACAAAGAAATAGGCTCGACATAATAGAAAGAGGGGATTTGAGGTTGTTGTTAACCAACATTGAGCCAGACATAAAGAAATTATGTGGGGGACACCAGGCCCAAGGAAGCCATTAACAACTCTTTTACATACATATATAACCATTTATCATTTTACAAAATGTAAAAATAAATAAATATAGATACTTACCTTTTGTATAGATTCATTATTTGTTTCAATTTAATTGGGAGTGGGGGGGGGGCGATTGTAGTATTAATAACTGGTGAAACCTGTCTAAGGGGGCGACAATGGGAAAAAGGTTGGGAACCACTGGTGTATATGTTGCATAGAATCGGCGAATTTGGCAGAAGCCGGAGACAGAATTCTGTCTCCGGCTTCTATATAACATGTAGCTTCTCCTTTTTAAAAATTTTAAAGTGTTTGTTTGTCTTTGTGTATTGTATTGTTATGTCCAAATTTACATGTATGACATTATGCTCATGTCGGATAGGCCACAACTGACGAAATGCCCCTGAAGATGATCTATTGATCGAGAGTACTTGGGCAAGATTTAATTAATTACTCTGTTCAATAGTTGCCTTGTATACCATCAAAATTTAAAGAAAAGCCACTCTTTGGGGATATTTCTTTCTTATGCAGAAAGACTTAATATGGCTAACCTAACTTTTTTGAACTTCGACGACAACGTGGAGTTTTAATTACAACATTTAAAATATTAAAATTCAATTTTGGAAATCTTGATGACATATTTACCATAAATCAAGATGAACGCCTTAGAGGTAATCAGTTTAAACTAAAAAAAAACAGAAAACTTTTCTTGATCATTCTGTCTTGATCTAGAAAGATCTTTCTTGATATATACGCTATGGAATCTGGCATATGACTGGGTTATGCACTGTAAATACGGAGAGGGTACAACCCCCTTCGCATTCACGGATGACCTCGCTGTACTGGTAGTAGCCCAGGATGAGCCAGATCTCAAATACCGGGTTCGGAACGCAGGTGGCGTCGTAAAGAAATGGTTGAAGCAGCACGGACTAAAACTTGCGACAGAGAAAACTGAAGCCATTATTCTGAAGGGGACAAGGAACATGCAAGGTGTTGAATTAAAATATGCGGGAATATGTCTAACACCCAAGAAACAAGTAAAGTATCTAGGAGTGACATTGCACCAGAATGGAAAATGGGGGGAGCACGTTCGGAAGGTGGTCCGAAAGGCTGCGAATAGTGCGGCTGCGTTGGGGAGAGTGATGCCAAACATTGGAGGACCTAAATCCGAAAGGAGGAGGGTCTTACACGGTGTTGTACAGTCTATCGTCCTCTACGCGGCACCAGTCTGGAATGAGGCGGTAGAGATAACGGCCTATAGGAGTCTTATGAAACGAGTAGACAGAACAGGTCTGTTGCGAGTGGCATGCGCCTACAGGACTGTGTCTGCGGCAGCCTTATGGACCATCACTGGATGTATTCCGTTGCATGTTTTGGCGGTGGAAAGAAAAGAGCTTTAGAGAGAAACACTTGGTAAGCAGGGAAAGGTCAGTTGAAAGATGGCAAGAAGAATGGAACAATACGGAGGATGTGGCACAGTGGACGAAAATGCTGATCCCTAACATAAGAGCTTGGGTGGACTGTGGCCACAGGCGATTGGATTATTTCCTGACGCAGGTGCTCACAGGACACGGGTGTTTTAGGGTCTACCTTTATAGGATCGGCAAGGCTGATACAGATGAATGCCTATATTGTGGATACTCGGACACTGTGACACATACGATGTTAGATTGCAGCAGATGGATAGTGAAAAGTAACAGAATGGAGAGAGAGACAGGTGTGAATTTTGTTACAGTGAGAGAAATTATTGAGAGAATGATTGAAAATAAATTAGGTTGGATTAACATACACAGTTATATCCGTGCAGTGATCAAAAAAAAAAGGAAGAGGAAGAAAGACAGCTGGACCAACAGCAAAGGTAGAGTGAATGATACTGAAAGGTGAACTTAGAACAGTGGGTCACACTCGTTCAAAAAACAGACTTGGCCGTTTTATATTATAGTTAAAATATTGTTTTTCTTTTAAATCAAAAATTGTATTTTTTGTAATTTTGTAATTGTAATTTTCATCAAATCTATTATTATCATCAATATGTATGTATTATTTAAGGTATGGATGAAGGAATAGCTAAGATAAAATCTCATAGATGGTTTAACGGATTTAACTGGAACAAGCTTCAAAATCTCGAAATGGTATCTCCTTTTATGGCAAGAGCAAAAAAGAATAGAAATCCAGATATGTATACCCCTGATAAAAATATTCCCGAAGATGAGTTATCTGGTTGGGACGAAGAATTTAAATAAATTATTAGCATTAATATTTATAATTAATAAAAAATAGACAAAATTATTCAATGAGTTTTCTTTATTTAGATAACTAAAGATTATTCCATATAAGTTGTAATATAATTTCATATTCGTCCTTATCTGCTGTTGGGGCGTAGACTTGTATAAGGTTTAGGGTATTGTGTTTAAGTTCTACTTGCATAAACATTACTTGGTCTGAAAGGGGAGTGTAGTTAAGAATATAATCTTTCAATTTATTAGGTACTATAATTTCAACTCCTTGGCGATAAGCTCTACTATCGTTTCCAGCATAGTAAAACATTTAGCATTTTGAGTCTGTCAGTTTCCATACCCTGGCCATTGTGTGTCGCTGATTCCTAATACATCTATCTTTTTTTATGAGGGTAGAAATGTTCTAAACACCATACCATTGATCGGCGTGTGTTGGATTCAGGGCAGTGGAAAACATTCGAGCCCATTTCTCCCTGTGTAGAGGAGGTCCTGCAAACAGATGCATTTCTGTTGCCCTGCCTACCAACTAAAGCCACCCATTCTTCGTCAAGACACCCCCGTACGTGTTCAGTTAGCAAACAAAACTAAGGGGTACCCTGCGCTGCCTGAATTGATAATGAAGATTTGTTGCCGGTTCTTAGCTATAAGCTTATAGGAGCGGTAAGAAACCAGAAGAAACTGTATGTAAAATAGTGTCATTACCTTGCTGAGGTATTACCTCAGAGCGGTGAGGAACCAGGGGGAAAGTATATGGAATGTATAGGTATACTAGGTAACAATAAGGTATAAGGATACTAGGTATTAGGTAATACTAGATAGATAACAATAAATAAGTATATTTGTATATAAACCTCAACGGAGCTGTTTCGAGCCGCAGCGAGCAAGGTTATGATTGCCAATATGATTTCCAACATCCGAAACGGATAGAAACCAGAAGAAGAAGAAAGAAGTATAGTAAGCAAGTGTAGTACATACATATGTACATACATAATACATATACACACCTGCGTACACACAAATACATATATACACACATATACACATATCTATATATTCCTACATAATATATAATAATAACCAGTTTTGAATGGAAGCAATTTGCCCCAGATCACTCTCATCCTGCCTCAGTTTCTTTCTCTATCATGGACATTCTCTCATAATTTTTGTTACTTGGTGTATAAGAAATTCAAAGTTCTCTCTGCTTTCCATAGCGACACGTATCAAGTTGTCAGATATTTCTCCTAGCTTTGTTCGCATTATATGTTGTTCCAACGCAAACACCTTGCACCTGAAGATACAATGCTCCGCATTATCTTCTACGTCACATATGACGCAATTATCATCGCTGGTTTTTCGTATACGAAACGTGTAAGACCTGAAAGGTCCATGTCTGATCAGGAACTGCATAAAATAAAAATTTACTCCCTTGAACTTATATTTGTACCACTCTATCACATTGGATATTATTATTATATATTTATTAGTGTCTCTATTTATTGTGTCCTTGTGCTATCTATCATCTAGAGCTACCGTTGAAGTAGTCCTGTACGCACTTGTTATTTCAATAGGGGCTTTCGCTGGGCTCTGGTTATCATGTCTCTGTACTTTTTGTAATTTAGTACATCTGCCAGAATGGGTACTAAATTCTAAAATAAAAATAGACATTATGATTGGCAACCTCCGTAGGGGGACGGCACTCTAAGAAGAAGAAGCCCAAATGGGGGTTCCATATAGGAGGGTCGACTGTACCACTTGCAGCTACACTCTTCGTTTTTGGCTGCTTGGGCCTTCTATATTCGGCATGATCCTTTGTAGGGCTGCCGTCCTTTCTTCCGCCCTCTGGACTACATTTGTCAGGTATTTCGTGAACCTTAGGTCTGAGTCGATGCATATGCCTAGGTATTTTGCATAGTTTGTTGGCATTATAATAGTACTACCAATTGGAAAAGTCATCTCGGGTCTTCGTCGTGGTCCTTTTAGTATGACCACTTCCGTTTTTCTTCCTACCAGTTCGAGATCGTTTCTAGCCATCCAGCTGTTGACTTTTCTGCAGTATGTGTTGACTTTATCTTCGATTTTCCAGTTCATGACTAGTATCGCCAGGTCATCTGCGTATGCAATAGCTAGAGTATCTCTACCATAGTCTATTTCTAATACAACGTTATAGAATATATTTCAGAGTGTCGGACCTAATTGCGGTACGCCGGCTGTTAGTAGATATACTAGGGGTCTTTGAGCTCATCCCCTAAATTGCAACCCCTAAAATCGCAACCCCCGGTCGTAAGTTCCAAACGGCTTAACGTAGGATGACGTACGAGGGCTCGTTGGAAAGGGGATGAAAAATGGGGTTGAATGCAGTATGTGCCGTGCGCATCGGAGCATGCCAAAAGGTCATTACGTCATATCTTTGTTTCTATTGGTCCGATCGTGACGTACGAGGGCTCGTTGGAACGGGGAGAAAGCAGGGAGACAAAAAACAAAGATGGCGGCGTTGCCAAATGGGCGCTAAAACGTATCATCGTTGCTATTGGTCTGATTTTGACGTATGAGGTGTCAAAGCGTTGGATGTCACGTGACATTCGACGCAGGACGTGACATTTGTCACAGAACGTGACATTTGATGCAGGACGTGAAATGTCACGTGAAATGATGTGACATTCGACGTAGGACGTGACATTTGACGCAGGACATGTCATTTGACGCAGGATGTGACATTTATGTGACATTTGACATAGATCGTACAATGTCACGTGAATTGACGTGACATTCGACGCAGAACGTGAATTGACGTGATATTCAACGCAGGACGTGACACGAGGGCTCGATGGAACGGGGATGAGACGGGGAATACTTTGACACAAAAAACAAAGATGGCGGCGTTGCCAAATGGGCGCTAAAACGTATCTTCGTTGCTATTGGTCTGATTTTGACGTATGAGGTGTCAAAGCACAGAAGCCATATCAACGATCAGTATGAACATTCTTCTTCTTCTTCTTTTCAGGACAGTGGCTAAGAGAAGGTTGACGAAGGACGTGACACTCGACGCAGGACGTGACAGTTATGTGACATTCATCACAGAACGTTAAACGTCGTGAAATTTGACGCAGGAGGTGACAGGTATGTGACATTCAACACAGAACGTGAAATGTCTCGTGACATTTGACGCAGGACGTGACATTCGACGTAAGACGTGTCATTTATGTGGCATTCGACACAAAACGTGAAATGTCACGTGAATTGACGTGACATTCGACGCAGGACGTGACATTCGACGCAGGACGTGACATTTATGTGACATTCAACACAGGACGTGACATTCGACGTAAGACGTGTCATTTATGTGGCATTCGACACAAAACGTGAAATGTCACGTGAATTGACGTGACATTCGACGCAGGACGTGACATTCGACGCAGGACGTGACATTTATGTGACATTCGACACAAAACGTGAAATGTCACGTGAATTGACGTGACATTCGACGTAGGACGTGAAATGTAGGAATTACGTGACGTGTGACGTTGTGACGTGACGTTCGACATTTTAAAAGACAAAGACACAATAACAGAGGGAAACAGAGCGTAGCAGAGGGTAGCAGAGGTACACAGAGGGTAACAGAGCGTCATAACAGAGACATTCAGACGCCTTTAGTGACACATATGCAGCGGCACGAGGGAAATACCAGCGTAAAATCGTTTTATTCGACTTCGAATAAATTGCATAGTTATTATCGCCAACAAAACATCGAGGCTTATTCGTAATCATATTCATAACAATTCGAGTGATATACAAAATTAGCGAATACAAATGGTAAGTTGAGTACTATATTTTATCTACGGCATTTCGGGCAATATTTTATTTGTAGGTTGGTATTGTGCTTCAGTAAATATATATTTCCACCAACAATCCGTACCAGTTAAACTGACACTACTTAAACTGAAAGTAAAAACCATTGAAAAGCCACTCATAAATGTCAAATATGCTTTACAGAGGTACAATGATAAACATATAATAAAACAATGTTAAATACTACCAAAATAAATACCTGCAAAAAAAAACATAAGCAAAATATAACGTGAAAATGCTAAAATATAATAAACTATGTAAATTATAATAAAAAAAAAACACCCTACAAAGAAAGAAGAAGCAGAAAGAACGAAAAGCATATCTTAAAACAGAAGAGGTACTAATGTGTACAACAAGTAAAAAAAAAAGTAATAAACACGTACTGACAGATAGCAAATAACCTTCAAATAAAATCGAGATGCAATGAAGTAATAAAACACTTATTGATGGATAGGAACTAATAATCAAAGCAGTCAACATGCAATGAAAAATGCATTAAAAAACATCAAACTTATAAGAGGCATCCTGCAAAAAGTAATAAGCACCAACAGACTAATAGGAAATAATAATCAAAGCATTTGATATGCAATGAATATACATTAAAAAAAAATCATCAAAATTATAAGGGGAAACATGCAAAACAGTAATAAACACCTACCCGTCGGAAAGCTAATAAAATACAGTTAATACAATAAATCATAATGAAATATGCTAAAAACGAGACATGAGACAGAAAATTAGCGACAATTAACAAAGAACATAAAAAAAAACGTTTACAAATAGCTGAGTACATATCCGATATACGTAATCTGTGAAAAACGAGACAAAAAGATGGAACTTCAGTGAAATATGTTAAAATACAATAAAACTATGTAAACTATTGTTAGAAAATTAATACCTACAAAGAAATAAGCAAAAAATATATATACCGAACAAACATATCTTAAAACAGAAGAGGTGCTAATGTGTAAAACAAGAAGGAATACAACCTCAAGGCAAATACACTGTCTCACAAAAAAAAGCAAAGAACAAAGCCGCCTTGTAAATGTCGTGAAAAATATTAAAAAACATCAAAAACATACACATAAAATGTAAAAAATGGAGAAAGCAATCTAGCATTTAACATGTAATCATAGCAATAAAAAACAACACAAAGGACAAGAGGTGTTATACATAAACAAAAAT